TGGGGGAGGGGCTCGGGTCCCACGGAGCCACAGCTCTGGTACATTACCCCGTTCACTGAGGTCTGCTCTTTTCTCCAGGTGTGTGCAGTCTGACGCCGTCCTCTTTCCTGCTGCTCTCTCAGGATTAGTTGTGCCAATTAAATTTTCTAATTGTATCCAGTTTTAGGAGGAAGCCTCTGTCTCTTCTCTCACGCTGCCGTCTTTAATCCCATCTTTGATGCATTTTTAAATGGGATTGTTTTCATAATATCTCTTTCTGCTAGTTCATTGTTTGCATATTAAAATGCAGCAGATTTCTATATATTAATTTTGTATCCTGCAATTTTACTGAATTCATTTATTAGATGTAATAGTTTTTTGGTGGAATCTTTAGGGTTTTCTATTTACAGTATCATGTTATCCACAAATAGTGACAGTTTAACTTCTTCCTTACCAATTTGGATGTCTTTTATTTTTCTTGTCTGATTGCTGGAATAGCCACTGAAAGTTTAGGTAGAGTGTAATGGGAAAACAAGATGATGAGAGGTTTGGATTTGTGAAAATGTATCTTGGGTTGGGTATTGAAAATTTAACCTCTGATTTAGTTAGTGCGATTACTAGTATAGTCCAAGAATATATTTTATGTTTAGTGATACACCACACTACAGATTTTTTAGTCGTATTTGAAAACAGTTTTGTACATTTTAAATTATACTTTGAATGTCTGAGAGTCAGCATGGTTTCATAAGTTAATAAATATTTTTATTATTAAAAAAATTTTATTAAGGTATAATTGATATACACTCTTATGAAGGTTTCACATGAAAAAACAATGTGGTTACTACATTCACGCACATCATCAAGTCCCCACCCAAACCCCAGTGCAGTCACTGTCCATCAGTGCAGCAAGTTGTCAGAGATCCACTATGTCCCTTCTCTGTGATATACTGTTCTCCCCGTGATCCCCCACACCATGTGTACTAAATATGATACCCTTCCGTCCCCTTCTCCCTCCCTCCCCACCCGTCCTCCGGCTTCCCTCCCCTTTGGAAACCACTAGTTCAGTTAAATAATATTTATTGAGTACTTACAGTGGTCTGACGCTGCCCTAGGTGTTGGGGATAGTCATGAACACATCATAGTTTGTCTTCAAGGAGTAACATTCAAGTGGACAACGATAGGCTAAACACATGAATACAGATGGATGATGTAATGTAATTTTGGGTATTGCGAAGTGCTGTTAAGATAGAAATAGACTACTGGTAAAGTAGTGATGGAGGTGGGGTAGGGAACTGCATTAAAACAGAGTGGGAGGGAATACCTGCCTGGATTAGTAACCTTTGAAGTGAGATTTGAAAGATGAGTTGTAGGTAGACATAAGATTTAGGAGACTAATGTTCTAAGCAAAAGAAATGATAAGGACAAATGATAAGGACAAGTCCCTGAGCTGGGTCTTACTTTGGTTTCAAGGGGCTGGCAATAACAATACAGGGTGACTGCTAAAGTTTAATAATGACCAGAGAGTGTAGAAGACTAGCATGGGTTGATCATTTAGGACTTTGTATACCGATTAGAGTGAAATAGAAAGTCACTGATAATCTTAAGCAAGAGAGAAATGTGATCTGATTTATGCTTTAGAATAGAGGTTGGCAAACTTTCTATAATAGACCAGATTTTAACTCTTTTAGGCTTTTTAGCCCATAAGGTCTCTGTCATAACTACAGCTTTGCTATTGTACTGTGAATGAATATGGCTGCATTCTAATAAAAATTTGTTTATAGAGACTGATATTTGAATTTCAAATAATTTTCATGTGTTATGAAATATTCTTTTTATTTAAAAATGTGTAAATTAGCTTGTGGACTGTAAAAAATAAGGCAACAGGTTGTAGTATGCTGATCCCTGATCAATCCCTTTAGGTGGTAGAGGTGTTTTACAATCCCCAAAAGAACAGCTGTATGCCTTGAATTAATAGTTACCAAATTATGATGAGTTAAGGAAATAGTAGTTGCCAATGATAGGAAAACCCTTAGGACTGGCAGATAGGAGTGCTGAATATCAGTATTCCTTTTTTCAAGAAATGATGAGCAACTGTTGCCAACTGATTCTTTGCTTTAACTCTGACTGGCTAGGACAAGACTCATTGTCCTGAGTGATGCCCCAGGGAGACTTGGCCAGTGACTAGTTGCTGTTTTCCAATAGGATAATAAAATTTTCTGAATTTTCTTTTCAGATATGTGGGAGGAGGAAAGTACAAGGGTATGTACTATTTAATGATTAAAGAGTGAATTTTTCAAATCTGCACATCTGCAGCTTGTTATTCTTGCCTATAATTGGAATAAAATGATCATACTAGCAGTGCAATTCTAATGTGTGAAAATGTGAGTTTGAGAATCAGCAACATCTAGTAAATTCCCAATGGCTAAAAAATATGATTGGGTAAAAGAAAAGTAGCATGAATAGTCACTCATCTATAAGGTGTTTTTCATGTATATAAGTTAACTTATTTGAAAGCCTTTTAATTCACAGACTTCTCTCCTGGAAAAATAACTGTGAAAATGTGTATGTAATACAGAAACTTGTTTTGGGCAGTATGCTTTTCAGCTATGAAGTGACCTATTTTAAACATGGCTGCTTTAGTGAATTCCAGTTTAGCTCATGCTGTTCCAGTTTTAAATAACCTAGTTATATGACTTTAATAAAACATTTGATGGTCAAATACTTTAAGGAAAAATTTTTGATTCAATTAGGATAATTTAGGAGATCATCAATCTAAGACTGTTTTGGTCGTTTTAAATTTATATACAATTTAAGAAGCATATTTAAAAATGTTAGTTTGAGGTAAGAGAGTAATTACATCCTTATCATAGGCTTTTTGGAGTAGAGAGGAGTATAGTACTCATCAATGTGTACCTGGGGCAACATCTTTGATCTGAGTTATTACTAAATCTGGCTGGAATGGAGTAGTTAGCAGTATGTTTCAACAGTATTTATATAGTGCTTTCTGTTTGTAAATCACTTATCAAAGTAGCTTCATGATATAATCACATATAAGTCGGGATATATTTTAAAACACAAGTATTCTTAAGAACAGGGATAGGTTGTTTGTAATATCTTATATTTTTAAGGCAACTATTTTTTTCCAAAGGATAACATTACAATGATACATCTTAGGGAAACGTTTATTTCAAATATTAACTTTTATGAAGATGGTATTAAACATCATTTATTTGTCACTTTAGATTGATTTTGCTGACACAAAAGACAAAGTGCTGGTGTTTTTCAAGCTGCGACCTGAAGTAATTACCGATCAGAATCTGCATAATAATATTCTTGTGTCATCTATGTTGGAATCACCTATAAATTCCCTTTACCAAGCAGTACGGCAAGTATTTGCACCAGTGCTGTTAAAGGTGAGTTAAAGTAGCTGTATGGTCATTGTTTATTTTTTTTAACCTAGATATTTGTTTAAATGTTTTTGTAAATACAAACATCAATGTTATTTTATTACTGTTAATATCACTAGTGTTTTAGTTTTTAATTAAAATCTCTTAGAAACTTTAAAAAATGTTACTGTAGGCTTTGTTGACAAACACAGAAAGTGGAGAGAATTATAAAATGGAATCCACATCAGCTGTTACATTGCTGTAGTAAATGATCTTTATAAAATTTTAACAATTGGGAGGACTTTCTTTTTCTCCCTTCTGAGATGGAGGTAGTGTTAAGTGAAATGGGCACATAGGATTTAGTTCTTGACACTGTTTTAGGAAGCCAATTTGATTGGCTGGCAAGCTTTTTTTTTTAGTAAGTTATCATTGATATACAATTTTATGAAGGTTTCACATGAGCAACATTGTGGTTACATCTTTGACCCATATTATCAAGTCCCTCCCATTCCCCTCACACCCCATTGTAGTCACTGTGATTGGCAAGCTTTTGATCAATGTTTGTTCTGTTTTTATTTAGGATCAGGAATGGAGCAGAAACTTTGATCCCAAACTTCAGAATCTTTTGACTGAACTAGAAGCTGGGTTGGGTATAGTTCTACGGAGATCAGACACTAACTTAACAAAATTGAAATTTAAGGAAGATGACACACGAGGTATATAGCCATAATTTAGTAAAAGAAAGTTAAAATGACTTACTTCTTAGTACATTAGTAAATTAATATATTTATTCATAGATTTTTTTCCCATACTTTAGGTTGTTCTCTGAGCCTGAGCTTCTTTTAAATGAATATATTTATATAGATTTGGAGAAGAGGAAAATGTAATCTTTAACTATGTGCAATTCATGGAAATAGAAAATACAGTTGTTTCTCATTATTTGTATCAGTTATGTTCTATAAAGTCACTGTGGACATTGGATTAACAAATACTGAATCACTGCTTCTAGGGGAAATATGGGATTAGGTTCCTGTGAGCCTCTGGTCATAATATTTTCATCAGCTGCTCAAACATAACCTTGTTTTATGTGTGTTTCTGTTTTAAGACACTTTATTTTATATATATTGATTAAGTAACATTGACCTCACCTCATGATCAATAGCACGTCTGAATGGAGTTTATCTAACATGTATATTTCAGTAAGTCACATCACAGTGATCTATGCTTAGGAATACTAGGTAGCACTTCAACGCTATACTTGGGGGCCATTTTAAACAGGGAAATAATCAACAAAAAGCACAAAAATGTGAAAAACCTGGAACCAAATAGACTACAAAAAAGGACATTTGTTTTCAGTAGGATCAGGAAGCAAGAAGGCAATGTTGCTTTGTTCACCATTAGGGGGGAACATATATGTAGGGCGACTCAAAGGTTTCACTGCTCTATGCACATCTGTGAATGACCACGAAAGCATTGCAAATACAGATTTTAGGTTACAAATAAATGTTAGTAAGTAGGTGAATTTGTAAATCTAAAATCCATGAATAATGAGGAGTGAACCTAGTTGTATACTTTGTAAAGATTATAGGCCATTGACTCTTATTTTAAAATATATTTTATCCAAAATTGACTGTAATTTTACTGTGGCTATAGATGAATTACTATTTATACAAACAATTTATGTGAAATGTATGACATACCTAAGTCATTATTTTATAATATTGGATACAGTTTTATATTTTGCTAGAATAGTAAATTAGATGCTTTTTGAATCCATAAACCCAGAAAGAATAGTACATTTATTTCCAACATGTAATTTGGCAACTAGAGATGTCCAGGTCATTGGGAAATATAAAAGCAAATTTAAAAGTAAGATGACTTTAATTTGCTTATGGTTTTAAATGATATTGTAAGCATTTATTGATTAGATTATAATCATTTCCAATTTGGATGATATTCAGTATGAATGGTATTAGAATTAGGTTTAGGAAAGTGTTATGTTAGAGAAGCCAACTCACAGATACACCATGCAGACTGCCAGTGTAGATATGAGTGGTTTACAAAAGCATATAGGAATCATACTCAGCTACATACTTGAGGTGAAGTATAAATTTGGTGCTGTTATTGTTTCTAGTGGATTTAAGTAAGAACTTTCTGTTGATAGAAATTGTAAAACTTATTTTCTGTACATCTTCAATGGTACAGGAAGTTCCTAAAATCTGTGAATGAACCAGATAACTTTCTGGCTTTTCATTTTCAACTGATGCTTCTTTTTTCCTTTTCATTTTTTCAGGTATTCTTACACCAAGTGATGAATTCCAGTTTTGGATAGAACAAACTCATCATGGAAATAAACAGATTAATAAAGAAAGAGCCTGCTATTTCAAGGAATTATTTGAAATAATTGCAAGAGTATGTGATTCATACATAGTTATTTATCATAGCTTTTGATAAAAGTACTTTGGGATTCAACTTTCACTAGATTTACCTCTGTTTTAAAATCATTACTTGATGGTTGTGAACAAAATATATCCTTCAAATGTAGCAGGGTTTACTTAAGATGTGTATTTAACATGACTGCAACTTAAAAATCCAAACTTTTGAAACAGTTAAGTTCTAATATCTAGCAAATATTTTTCTTTAAAACATAATTACGTTTCTGCAGGTAGGTAGAGAAAAGCAGAAACCTAATACACTAATAGGTTTATCCATAGGGAAATAATATGTTTCTCTGAAACAATGTTCACTTTATTCAAATTAGCATTTCGAAGTAACTGAAGTATTAAAAACTCTTAGTTTTATACTTATTTGATTGAGTATTCCTTGATGTATCTACCAAGAGGTTGAATAAGTGACCATCTTAAATATGGCTACAAAAAAGTCTATTCTTTTCAAAATAAGTATATAGTAATTTTCTATCCATTCCTAATATTATTTCAATAATATCGTTTTAATGAAAGGTTTGAAATGGTTTTTAATTTTTTTGTAACAATGATGAAATGTAGAATAATAAACCTTGTACTATGATTGTATTATTAGTAACATCATGCAACACATTAAATGAATTAATAAAGGTATGTGAATTATAATAGGTGATCTATATATGGCCATAAGGCTACCTCTTTTGGGTAAATAAAAGAAATGAATCCAAATTTAAAGAAAATCAGGCCAAGGGTAAACGTAAATGAGTAGATTTTTTGTAATTCTTGTTTTTTCTTTTGACGTTCATGAAATTTATGTATGTGAAGGAACTTACAGGGTATTTGCATAAAAAAGTACTATATCATCTGGTAGAAAAGGGAGGATAATTAATATAGCAGATATTAGAGTTGTAATTGTTGAAAAAGCATGAGAACATTTGGACTATATTGCCCATGGTACAAATACGATTATGTTTAAAAATGAATGCATTTTTGATTTTAGGAGTTTCATAACTTGGATGGTCTGTCCTTAGTGGAAGTGGCTGACTTGGTGGAGACTACTCGGGATGTTGTAAATGATGTGTGGAGACAAACAGAGCATGATCATTATCCCGAGTCACGAATGTTACATCTCTTAGATATCATAGGTACTAGTAAAGAAAACAACTTGAGATTTTGGAAGACTGTTTTGTGGTTTTTCCTTGAAGTCCTCACTTAAAATGCCCTTTAATATAATAGTTCTTGCTTAAAGTAACTTTTAAAGAAAATCATGTAGGATTATTTAATACTTATATATAGTGAATTTAAATTACATGTCTCAAATTTTTTGACCACTAACAACGAAATTTACATAGATTTTTTTAGTCCCTTTATGTATATTAATTTAGGCTTCATTCTGTAATGAACTGTAAAGTTCTTTAATATATATTGGCTTATCTGTTGATAGTAAAAGTATAAATACATTTTGATCCAGAAATGGCCTTTTTGTTATCCTAAGAAAATATTAGATAAGTATATAAAGACATGTACAAGGATATTTAAGGTGGCATAGTTTGTAATATAAGCAATTGAGAATTGGTTATATAATGCTACATTCATATAATAGGCACTGCACCCTTTAAAAAAAGTATATGTATTTCTACACTTGAAAGATGTATGATATATTGAAAAATACAAATGTGTGCGTGCATGTGTGTTTTTGAAAAATATTTGTTATTGACAGTACTAGGATAAAATGTGCATGTGATATTTCATAGATCTTTAATTTAAAATTTTGTCATAAGCATGTATTCTGTAATTATGTGATAAAAAGACCTTGCCCCTCATTAAAAAGTGTGCTCTATGTTTTACTAGGTGGTTCGTTTGGAAGATTTGTTCAGAAAAAGTTAGGAACTTTGAACCTATGGGAAGATCCTTATTATCTTGTGAAAGAAAATCTGAGAGCCGGTATTTCTGTTTGTGAACAGTGGGTGACCGCCTGTAATCACCTGACCGGTCAGGTGTGGCAGCGCTATGTTCCTCATCCATGGAAAAATGAAAAATATGTCCCAGAAACACTTGACAAACTTCGCGGACGCCTTGAAGAGGTATCATTTGACGATTTGGATCTTTGTCTTAAAGTGTGAAGTAGATCCTCATTTGTTTGTGAATGTATTTTTTAATTCCAGGCAATACTGGGAAAAACTGCAGGTGTGGTTCCAGACAACTATAATAAAGCAAATATCATGATAAAGCAAATCAAGTTAATTTTTTGGGTTCCCACTAGAACATATAAAATTTATGTTTAAGCTATTGTATATAAATGTGCAATAGCATTTTGTCTAAATATACAGTGTACATGCCTTAATTAAAAAATACTTCATTGCTAAAAAATGTTAGCCATCTAAACCTCCAACAAGCTGTAATCTTTGAGAGTCTTGCTTTGATGTCGATGGCTGCTGTAGGATCAGGGTGGTAGTTGCTTGCCGAAGATTGGAGGGGCTGTGGCAATTTCTTTAAAAGAGATGATAATGAAGTTTCCCATATCAATTGACTTCTCATTTCATGTTCAATTTTTCTGTAGCTTGTGATTCTGTTTGATAGCATTTTATGCACAGTAGAACTTCTTTCAAAATTGAAGTCAGTCCTCTGATACCTTGCCACTGCTTTATCTACTATGGTTAGGTAATATCCTAAATCCTTGGTTGTCATTTCAACATTCTTCATGGTGTCTTCACCAGGAGTAGATTCCATCCCAAGATACTACTTTCTTTGCTCATTCATAAGAGGCAACTCCTCATCCATTCAAGTTTAATCATGAAATTGCAGCAATTCAGTCACAACTTCAAGTTCCACTTCTAATTCTAGTTATCCTGCTGTTTCCACCACATGTGCAGTTATTTCTTCCACTGAAGTCTTGAAACCCTCTACGTCATCTATGAGGATGGGAATCAATTTCTTCCAAACTCCTGTTAAAGTTCCTATTTTACTTCTTCCCAGGAATTATGAATGTTCTTAATGGCATCTAGAATGGTGAATCACTTTGAGAAGGTTTTCAATTTACTTTGCACGAATTTATCAGAGGACTCATTGTCAATGGCAGCTGTAGCCTTTTGAAATGCATTTCCTAAATAATAAGGCTTGAAAGTTGGAATTACTCCTTGATCCACAGGCTGCATGGATCCCTGTGTTAGCAGGCATGAACACAACATTAATCTCATACATCTCCATCTGAGCTCTTGGGTAACCAGGCTCATTGTCAAAGAGCAGTGATATTTTGAAAGGAATTTTGTTTTTGAGCAGTAGGTCTCAGTAGTGGTCTTAAAATATTCAGTAAACCATGTTGTAAACAAATGTATTGTCCTCCTTGATTTGTTTCATTTATAGAGCACAAGCAGAGGAGTAGATTAAGCATAATTATGAGTCCTGGGATTTTTGGAATGGTCTGTGAGCATTGGTTTCACTTTAAAATCACCAGCTGCATTAGTCCCTAAAAAAGAGTCAGTCTGTCCATTTAAGCTTTGAAGCCAGTGATTGACTTCTGAGAGTCCTAGATGGCATCATCATCCAACAGAAGGCTGTTTTGTCTACACTGAAAATCTGTTTAGTGTATCCACCCTCATGAATTATTTTAGCTAGATTTTCTGGATAACTTGCTACAGCTTTTACATCACCATTTGCTGCTTCACATTGCATTTCCCTGTTATGGAGAGGGCTTCCTTCCTTAAACCTCATGAATTTAACTCTGCTAGCTTCAAACTTTCCTTCTGCCACTTCCTCACTTATCTCACACAGCCTTCATATAATTGAAGAGAGTTAGGGCCAGCCTTGCTTTGGAGTGGGCTTTGGTTTAGGGGAATGTTGTGGCTGATTTGATCTATCCAGACCACTAAAGCTTTCTCCATATCAACAACAAGGCCGTTTCTCTTATCATACGTGTGTTCACTGGAGTAGCAGTTAAAATTTTCTCTAAGAACTTTTCTTTGTGTCCATAACTTGGCTGGCTGCTTGGCACAACAGGCCTAGCTTCAGCCTGTCTCTGCTTTTGGCATGCTTTCCTCACTAAGCTTAATTGTTTCTAGCTTGCGATTTAAAGTGCAAGACATGCAACTCTTCACTTGACTACTTAGAGGCCACTGTTGGGTTATTACTTGGCCTAATTTAAATATCGTTGTGTCTTAGGGGATAGGGAGGCCCCAGGAGAGGGAGAGAGATGGGGGAATGGCTGGTTAGTGGAGCACTCAGAACACACACGTGTGTTAAGTTTGCTGCCTTGTATGGGCATTGTTCATGGCACCCCAAAACATCCCTAGTAACACCAAGGATCACTGATCACAGATCACTGTAAAAAATAATGAAAAAGTATAAAATATTGGGAGAATTACCAAAATGTTCTACAGAGACATAAAGTGAGCAAATGCTGTTGGGAAAATGGCACCAATAGACTTTATGCAGGTTGCCACAATCCTGCGATTTGTAAAAAATGCAGTGTGCGAAGCCCAGTAAAGCGAAGCACAGTATAATGAGGTATGCCTATAATAAGTACTACATATCTGATAGACAGCATTTATACTTCTGGGAGAGAATAAGAGTTAAAGTCTGTGTGGAACAGTTGATGGCCATCATCTGGTACAAGGTCAGTTGCCCATTGGGCATGAAGACTCCTCTTTTTCCTTTGGTTCTATACTATAACCGTGCACTTTTAAGTTGTGAACTTGTATTTCGTTCTTTATTTTTAAAAAGATAACCCACTTATCCATATGTGGAAACTCTCAGATATTCTCTTGGTTGTTGAAATTGTTTTTAAGCGGAAACAGCTTTTTAGGGAGTACACAGTGGAAGCATTTGAAACAGCTACTTAATTCATACAAGTTACAAGTTTCAGTGTAGAACTTACATATTTAGCCTGAAGGGATAGACAGAATGAGACTATGCAAAGACTACAATGCTGATTTTTCCCCTGTGTGATAGGGGAGCCACAGTTCTATGGGAATTTTGCTTTGTTTTGTTTTTAAACTTTTTCATTATGAAATAAAATAGTGCACTGAATGCCAATGTATCTGTCACTCAACTTCAACAGCCATTGACTTACTTTTTTTTATTGAAGTATAGTTGATACACAATATTATTTTGGTTTCAAGTATACATCACAGTGGTTCAACAGATGCACATGTTATTAAATCCTCACCCCAACTAGTGCAGTTACTGTCTGTCAACATAGATGTTACAGAACCATTGACTATATTCTCTATGCTGCATTTCCATCCCATGACCGACTTATATTATGACTGAAATTTCATGCCTCATTATCCCCCTCACCTACTCCACCCACCCACCCCAACCCTTCCCTGCTGGTAACCCACCAGTCACTTCTAGTGTCTCTCAGTCTACTGTTCAACAGCCGCTGACTTTATTCAGTTGTTCCATCTTTGTTTCCTCTGTCTTCCTTTTTTTTGCTGGAGTTTTTTTAAAGCCAATCCAAGAAATCATACTTTCACCCTTAAAACATAGTCGCAATACCTCTATCGCACTCAACAAAATGACAGTAATTCCATATCATTTTATATCTAGCCAATGTTCAATTTTCCTTACTTCAAAACTTTTTGTGTTGTTAGTTTACTTGAATCAGGTTGCTTCACAGGTGCTGCTATATAGTTCTTACACATTCCATTAGGAGGCATGTAGCGTCTGTTTTTTCACTTTCAGTGAGTTAAGTTTTATCTGTGGGTTTAGGTATAATTGGGCTATTGACCTATTATAATGCTCTTTGTCACATTTTTCTTAATGATTTTAGCAGCTGTTGATGATCATGAGGAGTTGCAAAATGGTGATTTTTTCATTCTATTCTTTCTGCATTTATTAATGATGATGAAATAACTTTTCTCCATCAATTTCTTAGTTGTTCTGAAATATAGTTTATACAGGAATGGCAGTATAGATAATTACTTCTTTCCTTTTATTTATCACTTTTTAGAGTAATGAACAATAAGTTAGTATCATAGTAGGTTCCACAGACAATCAATAAATGTTTTTTAGTAGTGTCATGATGAACCCACAAGTTTTTATATTTTTCTATTTATTGTAATTATTATATACTCAAATTGTTTTATCTTTGGACAGTGAGTGCCCCTTTAAGTTGTCCCTTGTGTCATTTTGACATGAATCTAGTATTTCTTGGATTCCTTTCTTACTTTCAAGCCCTCAAACATGTACCAGCCCTTCTTGTACATATTCTGTCTCATACCCATAATTAGTCATTTCTTCAAAGAGCATACTTCTTTTTAGTAGAAAATGGTACTTAGAAATAATCTGATTTGGGAAGTGCTGAATGTTACTAAGTTCATGCTTTTAGGCCTTCTCAGTAGACAGTGATTTTTTGGTTGTTTTAGTTTTAGTGAGAAAACATCATGAGTTTGCTCTAATATTTCCAATTCCAATGGAAGATGACAGTGTTTTTATTTAACTTTTTTGATTACCTTTTGATTGTTGATGGAAATTTTAATACAAATACAATAATTGTTTTCCAGCTGTTGTGTAAATTACACATAATAGGATTGTTAACATATCATTTCATTATTAGAAGTACAATTTCATGCAGAATAATGAAAATCAGGAGTTTTTACTATATTAAGGAGGAGACCCTAAAACTTGAACTTTAAACAGTTTAAAAATATTTAGGTTTTATATATTTTCACTGTATTTGAGCACACTGTTTAATAATAGTGTGATGATAGAGTTGTCTTTGTGCATCACTTTGATTATCGATGAGTAATAATTCTCAAGATTATAGTTTCAGTTTTTTATTGTTATTTCAGAGAACCTAGCTTAAAGAAATTCTTGTCTGGTATCTTTAGATTTTAGACCTGTTTGAGCAGATTTATTAATTTAAATGAGTTTGTTTTAATATTTTGTTTTAGGTCTTGGCTGTTAGAACAATTCATGAGAAGCTTCTCTATTTTTTACCTGCCAGTGAAGAGAAGATCACATGCCTACCTCGAGTGTTTGAACCTTTTACTGGTCTGAATCCGGTGCAGTATAATCCATATACTGAGGTTGAATATATAACTGTTTGTCTATATAATTTCTTATTTGTATTCTTTTAGAAGGCAGATTTTTAAAATGTTGAAGTCTAACAATATTGTTAATTTCTGTAGCCTTTATGGAAAGCTGCAATGTCTCAGTATGAAAAAATCATGGCACCTGCAGAACAAACAATAGCTGGAAAATTGAAAAATTATATTTCAGAAATTCGAGATAGTCCACAGCAGGTAAAATATTGAAATATTCACTTTTAATATTTCTTTAAGCTATTTTAGGAAATTATATGTATTTACTGAGTTATTTGGGATGAACATATACTTATTTTATTTCATATTAGCTTCTTCAAGCATTTCTGAAATATAAAGAGTTGGTGAAGCGTCCTACTATAAGCAAAGAATTGATGTTAGAAAGAGAAACTTTACTGGCAAGACTTGTGGACTCAGTTCAAGGTAAAGGTTTATCTGAGGTTATAGTGTTTTACTTGAGAAAATATATAGGTTACTTTTTTCTTTGTTGTACACCATTTAGGATTAAGACTATATTTTATAACATCTATATACTGGAAATTAATTTGTCATTTCTACTATAAATGACAGATTTTTTTTGGAATTAACCAATTATTTTCTTTATCTGTCTCACTCAACACATGGTAAGGTCCCTAAGGGTAAAAGACCAACACTTACTGTTTTTCTACCTACAACATTTTACATAGTACTTGGTACATGGAAGGCATTTAGGAAAACTTTGCTGAATGTATGTAATCATTTATTTAACTTAAATTTTATAGATTTTCAATTAGATTTTGAGAATCGATGCAGAGGAATTCCTGGTGATGCATCTGGACCACTTTCTGGAAAAAACCTTTCAGAAGTTGTCAATAATATAGTTTGGGTTCGCCAGTTGGAATTGAAGGTATTTGTGTTGATAAAAGTTGTAAAATACTAATTGTAAAATATGCTAAATTAATTTAGAAGTCACTCTACAACTGTAGGGAAGACATTAAAAAAACATTGTTTTCCTTGGCATATCTGTCTGATTTTCATGTGAAATATAGAACTCTGAAAAAGTGTACAGAGAAGTTCTAGTGGTTCTATTCCTTGTATGGGGTAATTATTAAACCATTTACTATTCCAATTGTAGTTATTTTTGGCAAGTGCTGCCTTAAAGAATATTCAAGAGGAAAACATTCTTTACAGGAATTACAAAAATTCTTTCAATATACCATTTTTAATTCTTTGAAATGTATCATGGTAAAATTTTAATAGTTGCAAAGTCTATCTGCAAGTATGTTTATATGAGTAAATCATCCTAGGTTAAAAAGAAGTTAAAGGAAAGGTGAAAGATAATTATGGCATTGCCTACAGTAGTGGCAGCAGTTTATAGATTTCAAGGACTGTTATTTTAATATTTTAATATTAACAAAATTGATCGAAGAATCTTATGTACTTACTAAATAGTATGTGGTACAATGTCTTGCATTCAACTCATAATAAATACTAATTAGTTATAATCTGTGATTAAGAGTGAGCAAATTAAGAGTTTTTGCTTACTCAAGTTTGTATTTTTGATATTTTATTTTCTGGAATATTCTGCCTAATTTTGTCAGTTAGTTTTCCAAGGTACTACAGTGTTCTTTGTACAGTTGTGGAGGAAAGGCATTTCTCTTCTTTAGTTGCCATTCAAATTGACCAAATTGTTTGAGCTACTAACCAGAGCAGATAGCAAAGAGCCCATAATATTGCTTATTGCTTAGCATATTTAGGAGTGTTGCTGAATTCTTGGAGTTTCACCTGAATTCTTTTACGTTATCCTTCAAATTATGCCTTGTATGCATTATCCTCTGTGTTTTGCTTTTCTGGAGTTGTATAATTCAGAAGAAGAGTAGAAGTTGATATTCTTATATTCACTACTACATCTTCTATTTCTCTATAGATGAATGGGAAAATAATTTCTGAATCACAGATCAGGGAAGGGGGCTCATTTTATGCTAGCTTTGTTAGAATTTAAATAAATATTCTTGTAATTTGGCTTTTGAAGGTGGATGATTCAATCAAGATTGCAGAGGCTCTTTTATCTGACCTGTCAGGATTTCGATCTTTCCATCGAAGTGCTGAAGATATCTTGGACCAATTTAAACTATATGAACAAGAACAATTTGATGATTGGTCTAGGGATATTCAATCTGGTTTGTCTGATTCGAGATCTGGTTTGTGGTGAGTATAAATATACTGAACAGCGAAATCTACACAAGAATTTTTTTCTTATGTTATTAATCTATATGGAAAGATGGAGTTAATCATGTCTGCTCTCTCCTTTTTCCAACTTGCTGTTATTCCTTTAACTTTTATTTTTTTTGGTATTAGTTTTCTATTACCAACTTTTAAGTCATTACGGTTGGAAACTTAGATGATATAGTTAGTTGATGGCCTCTCCATGACTTCTTATGTCTATTCCTCAGAACTGCAGATTGCCATTTTCAAATTCTTTCCCTCTTCCATATTTTTTTTGTTATTGGTATTTAAATATATTTTTCTACCTTTTTATATTAATATTACACACACACATTGTTAACTGTACAATTTTACGAATTTTAAGCTCCTTGACCTAGGGAATATTTCTTCATGGTGCCAACATAGTAAGTGTTTGGTAAGTATTTATTGAGTTATATTAAATGTAATTTAGTTGTTTATTCTAATTATTCTAATATGTATTTAAAATGGCTGGTCTAGAAGAACCATTGTTTCCTTTTCCAGGTAAAAATTTCCCAGTATATTATTGTCTGTATTTTCAGAATCTTGTCACATTTTAGTTTTTACTTTGTAAAAGTAAACTTTCTCCATGATATGAAATTTTGTTTATTTTTCCTGTACCACTGCAAAGGATGATTAGGCCCAAAGTGGTAGCTTCTTAAACTGAATGAATATTTTTTTTCCTTTATTTTGCATTTTGTTCTGGAGAAAGACTAAAGGAACTAAAGGGTGCTAGGGCAAAATAACTGGAAGTATTTGCTGCTTAACTCTTCCCCTTCCTACCCTAAACCTAATATATGAGAGATGCTCTGGGCCAAACAAAAAATAAAGAATTCTTTAGCCAGTTAGTTTTGGCAGTTTTGCACACTTTTTTTTTTGCTATTAGCTCTAGTGGAGGTCCACTATGTATGATAGCATATGAAGGACTGAGAGTTGCTGTAAAGAAACCTGTGTAACTTTGTTTAATCTGTTGTTTCCCAGGGGATAAAAACCCTGGCTCCCCCACCTTTTTTTTTTTTTTTTTTGAGTAAAATCCATTATTGTCCCCTAGTGTCAATGTGTTTTGGAACTTATTTCAGGATATACAGGTATGTAGAAACTAATTTTGAAGATTAGTTTCAAATAAAGGCAAAATAGTCACCATTATGCTTTCTGACAGGGTTTATGTTCAAATAGAAAAGTTTGGGTAAATCATTGTTTTAAGCCATTTTATAGTATGTACTTTTACTGTGCTTTGTTTTATGTGTTATTAAGCAGGCTAAACTGAATAGGTTTGTTCTTTGTTTTTCAGTAGCTTACTTTCTAAGACTAGCAAGTTCTCTTAATTGTGAAAGTGATTTAAAAGAATAAACATTATATAAAACTGATCCTGAAAGATAATGAAAATATCATACTTTATTCTTAATTTAGCTCAGCATATTCACATTCATGGCCACTTGAACACCCCAATGTAAAATCAGCTATTATAAGAAATAACAAGTGTTGGCGAGGATGTGGAGAAAAGGGAACCCTCCTATATACTCTTGATGGGAATGTAAATTGGTGCAGGCACTATGGAAAACAGTATGGGGCTTCCCCAAAAAACTAAAAATACATGTAACTCAGTAATTCCACTTCTAGGAATACCCAAAGAAAACAAAATCTCTGATTTGAAAAGGTATATGGATTCCTATATTTATCACCACATTATTTAAAATATTTGGAAGCAATAATAGTGTCCATTAACAGATGAATGGATAAAGAAGATGTGGTACATTATTATACAATGGACTATTATTCAGCCATAAAAAAGAAATACTGCCATTTGGACAACATGGATGGACAGAGAAGGTATTATGCTAAATAAAATAAGCCAGGCAGAGAAAGACAAATACAATATTATTTCACTTATATGTAGAATCTAAAAACAAAACAAAAGAAAACAACGGAACAAATGAGCAATAGACTCGTAGACACTGAGAAATGACTGGTGGTTACCAGGAGGGAGGGGTTGTGGCTGGTGGGTGAAATAAGTGACGGGGATAAAGAGACACACAATCTCAATCATAATGTAAATTAATCACTGGGATGAAAATACAGCATAGAGTATATAGTCAATAATTCTGTGACATCTTTCTATGTTGGCAAATAGTAACTACACTAGTTGGGGTGAGCATTTAATAATGTAGATAAGTTTTGAATCATTATCTGCCTACTTGAAACCAATATAATATTGTATATCAACTATACTTCAATAAAAAAAGTAGATAAATAAGAAGAAAGTGCACTGCAAGAGTTTCAGCCCATAATGTACCTTGTTCAGTACCAAGAAACAATGAAAAGCATTCTAAAGATGGACCAATCAGAAACTGAGATTGAGGAAGCCACCCTAAAGTAAAGTAAAATGAAATCTGCTGCTGTAGCCTTTATCAGAAACACAAAGGAAGGGCAGTCCTTAGAAATAAAGTGGAGGAATTGAAACATTTGAATACTTCTACTCTACCATTTTGATGTTCTTTATCATTGATCCTTTAATAAAAGTATTAAAGAACTAAGTAGGCTAACTGAAAAAGAAATCAGGTGCCTTTGAGAAAATGAATCAAAACCTTTTCCCTTTATGGTGGATATGATGTCAATTTTGAGTTTTAGCTGAAGGTTAAGAGGTTGGTTGATTTTCTGACTTCAAAAACAGCTTGGTTGCTTTTGTTCTGTCTGACTGGAAGGATGGAGTCCTACAAGGAAGGCATTGGCGCTGCCACCAGCTCTTCCAGCTCCACCACTGGCTGCGCAGGCAAGGGAAAGGCAAAGATGACTTCGGGGATTTGGCTGTGAAGCAAGTGCTGATAGGGGGCTTGATGGAATTAAAGATAATCAGACATTATCAAGAAGGACAAGGAACTGAAGTGCCTCAAGAAGTACTCCTGGGCCTGGTTGTAGAAGATCAGCTTGAAATTACCAATTGCTTTCCTTTCCCCAGCTACAGAAGATGATGCTGACTCTGATGAAGTCTGGTATTACTGGAGATGATGCAGAGCCTTCGCCATGTAAACATCGGCTGCCTCCATGTGGGCTGACACCAGTCCACATACTATGGCTCATTTGTCATTCTGGCCGTCCTGGATTCTCAGTTCAGGTACCAGCATGCCATTGAAGAATCTGTCGTTCTCATTTATGATCCTGTAGAAACTACCCAAGGGTCTCTCACGGAAGGCATACAGATTGATTCCTAAACTGATGGAAGAAGGATTTTATTCCTGAAACGCTGAAAAAGGGAAATATTACCTTTGAGCACATATTTGAAGAGGTGCCATAATTAATAATTCACATCTAATCAATGTCCTAATGTGGGGACTTGAAAAGAAGCTGTAGCAGATAAACATGAATTGCTCAATTTTGCTAGCAGCAATCATATGGGGAAGAATCTACAGTTGCTGAGGGACAAAGTGGATGAAATGAGCCAAAATATAATTAAATACTCATACATGAGGAATACGAGTACACAATAGCAGCAGAAATGCCAGTACCAGCAACATCGCCAGCAGGAGAATGAATGTGCATCTCCAGAGCTGAGAACTCCGCTCCCTGAAGAGGGTCTGTCCCAGCTCTTCAGATCACCCCAGCCCCAGCCAGGATGGATTCTCTGCTCCTTGCAGGCCAGATTAACACTTACCGCCGGGGCCGGAACATCAAGGCATTAAGGAGTTCACTGCCCAAAATTTAGGCAAACTCTCCATGGCCCAGTCTCCTCAAGAATACAGTAAGTAAGAAAAGGAAGTTTCCAGGGAAGGAGTTAACATGGATCACTGGGCAACTCTTGGAAGAAATACACTTGGATATTGAAAAGCCTTCTAGCTAATTATAAAAAACAAAACAAAACAAAAACACCTTGGTTGAAATATTAATGTCATGGTATATTTTGGATATTGCATTTGTTACTAAGATCTGAATTTTTGGATTCTGTGTGAAAAAAGATACCTTGAAAGTGTAATTAAAATTTTTTAAACTTTGAATTTTTATATTTATAGAAAATTATAAAAATGTGTTTTTAGTAAAAAGAACATGAAAATTAAAAAGTTATTCATTTTATTTTGTAGTATTGAGGCTAATAGTCAAATAATGGAATTAGATCCTAATGATGGATCATTAAAAGTGCATTATTCAGATCGGTTGGTGATTCTTCTGAGAGAAGTTCGTCAGCTTTCTGCTCTTGGCTTTGTTATTCCTGCCAAAATACAGCAAGTTGCAAACATTGCTCAGAAATTCTGCAAGCAAGCTATTATTCTTAAACAAGTATGAAATTATATTTTTTCAATACACAGTTATTCTGAGCTCATTACATTAGATTATTTTAAGGGCTTTGTTTCTATATCTGATTTATTTAAGCCAATAGAATAGCACCATTAATTAAGACTTGTGAAATTACAGTTTGCCAAATGAGTACATTACAAAATTTGCTTTGTAAACCTATATAGGAATTGATTAATTTGAGGTATTATTGTTACTGCTTTTCATTCCAAAAGCCTTTGGAAAAGTATTATTTATCTTTCTTTCTCTTTTTTTCCTTTGTTCTTTCATGTTACTTGCATGCATTTTAAAGGACTTTCTAATTAAAAGGTTCACTGCCTGCCTTTGAGGGGCAGATTCTTAGAGAATTACCAGGCTATGGACTGGCCTGTTTTTGGTCATTTCCTGGATTGCCATCATATCATTCACTTGTTTAAAACCAGCTTTTATCACTTCATTGTCTATCTCCTTAGCAGGGTATACAAGCCCCATCTTAATGATGCCCTAAGTAAGCTTACTGGTGGCCTTCACTATTTCACTCTTTCCCTCCCGTTGCACCCTATGATTCAGTACTGTGGAACTTGGCTCTTCTTTGAATGGGCCTTCATGCACTGTTATCTGTTCTCTTTCATTGGAAAACTCAATATCATCCTTTAATTCCCAGCTCAAAATTCTCTTTCTTTGTTGTGTCTTCCTTTAGTTGATTGATCCTTGTTCTGTATGCAGTGTGCAAATCACTTTTGAACACTTAGATAGTATTGGATTTTTTTCATCTTTTCTCTCCCTTGATTAATAGTTCACAGAGGGCAGGAAGAGCATCTTGTGTATTTGGTCTCTCATTCTTTCACTGAGCAAAGATTCATTGAACACCTGTATTTCCAGGCACAGTATAGTGAGGATGTAAACATGAATTTATAACTCATACTCTGGTACAGGGTCTCTCAGCCTTGGCACTCTGGACGTTTTGGACCAGTTCTTTTTGGGGGTGGGGGTGCTGTCCTGTTCACGGTAGGAGGTTTAACAGCATCCCTGGTCAGTAATGTCTACCTAGTCCTGACAACTGAAAATGTCTCCAGACATTGCCAAATGTCCCCTTGGGTGCTGATCGGCCTTGGTTGAGGATCACTGGTCTAATGGGAGAGAGCAAACTAAATATGAAGTTCTCATTAAATATCAGGCCTTCTGGTTGATACATTTTTGATGTTATTTCAAGTAATCTCCCATTTTTCATTGACCTAATTGGGGATCAGATTCATAACACAGCTTTCCCAGTGCCGCACAGGTAGTAAGTTATGAAGCCAGGATTTGATATCAAGCCTCTCTGACTCCAAAGCTCATATTTATTCCATTAAAGTTTATATAGTGATGGCAGATATATGAACAAATGTTTATACATTGATGAACAGGTAGTATTTGAGAAGAGACATGATATAAAGTGAGGAGAAGAAACATGCAAATATCTGGAGGAAGACTATTATAGGCACAAAAAGGGAATGACACATGCAGAGTTCCTGATATGGTCCCTATCACTGGGTAGGTTAGAGTAACAGCAAGGAGGCCCATTTGGCTATAATGAAATGAGGGAGGGGTTTGTGCTGGGGCTAAAGGCACCATGTAAAATGTTTGTGCCAGGGTAAAGGCATGGGTTTTGGATTTGGATTTCTTTCTAAGTGTATTGGAAAACCACTGGAAGGCTTTAGGTAAGTGTTTTGGGATTGTGGACTTTAATTTAGTCAAATGTATTGGGAAGTCTTTGGAAGGTTTTGAGTAGGCAAAATGTGCGATAAGATTTATGTTTAAGAAAGGACCACCCTGGCTACTTTGAGTTCTTTGAATAGACTATAGGGGGCTGCCATTGGAAACAGAGACTGGTTAGGAGATGGTTGCACTGGTGTTGCCAACAGATGAAGGTGCTTGGATTGGGTGGGATGTATAGAGGTGGGAGAAGTGATTGGATTTAATATGTATTTGAAAATATAGTCAAGAGACTTTGTTGATATGGGATGTGAGAGAAAAAATAAGGACCACTCAAAGAATTTTTTGGTCTGAAAAATAGATAAATCATTGTGTTATATACTGAAAAAGGAATTCACAGGCTTGGAGAGTTGTGAGAATAAAGAGTTAGGTTTATAGCACTTAACATTCTTTACTGGTTTCCTCTGTGTACCTTATGAGACTGAATTTCTGGGTTTTGGGGACTGGGTTTTAAAATCTTTGTTTAATCAGCCCCTAGGGACATGACTTGAGAAATTATAGCAAGTCAACACATATTCGTTGGTTATGTATATTAATGCATGTATAAATGCTATATTAGAGGTGAAAAAACTAATTTTTGCTAAATCTTAGAATTGAGAAGAGTTGAAAGAGAAGAGTTTCCATTCATACAATTAAAAATGAATAATTAAAGATTAAGTGTGCTATTTATTATTGATCATTGCTACTTGCACTTCTATTTTGTAGGTGGCACATTTTTACAATTCTATTGATCAACAAATGATTCAAAGTCAGAGACCAATGATGTTACAATCTGCCTTGGCATTTGAACAGATAATTAAGGTAAGTGGACTTTCTATGTTATTATAATTAGATTTTACACTGAACTATTTCATATATTTTAGCTTTTCATATACTCTTCAGCTTAATATTGACATTCATCTAAGGCTTTATTTTGCTCCCCAATGACTTCCTTCACTCTTGACAAGTAACATTTTTTCCAGGTGTAGATTATAAATTATTATAATTTTCATATATATTGCTGATTTTGATCAGTTGAATTAACATGAATAGTATAAAATTTGTATGCTATTTTATTTATTTATTCACTGAAATATGAGGTCTTTATCTAGTAAAGATTCTTTAGTGTTTTTCCATCATCTTCTGATTTTATAATTTGAGATTTATTTGCTCTTTATCTATGCATATTTAAATATGCACATTTATGAATTAAAAAAACCCAAAAAAGTTTTTAACTTGCTGCTATGTGACTGCTGACTTTTTGAAATCAACATTTAGTCTTCATAAACATGAAATATTAAAAAAAATAAGTAGAATAGGAATATGCCTTTTCATTCTTCTTTTTTTTGAAAGTGAATAATAGTTGTGTCATGGTCCTCAAGACTAGCCTCAGGTTCTGTGGTTTTTAGGGGGACTCATAGAACTCAAGGTAGTTGTACTCACAGCTGATTTATTTGTGATTTATTACAGTGATAGGATGAAAAGCAAAAGAGCAAAGGGAAAGGAACATGGGCTGAAGTCCTGGGAAACCAGGTACAATATTTCAGGAGTCCTCTCCCTATGGGCATGCTTAATTCCCCCAGCAGCAAGTTGTAACACATGTGAAATGTTGTCTTACTAGGTAAGATTATTAGTGACTCAGTGCTCAGGTCTTTACTGGGGGATGGTCAGGCAGGTATCTTCTCCCTAATATATACCAAAATCCAGATTCCCAGAAGGAAATCAAGTGTTCAGCATTCCACACTGTTTGGGTACAATGAGGTATTCTTGAAAGTTACGTAGGTGGGAACCCTCCCAAACTCCAAGTTTCCTGATGCCAGCAAAGGGCCAATATTTTAAGCAGGCCTTTTAAAGGATAGCCGTGTAACCTGCCATGTTAACTCTTTTCTGCACATGAGTTCGCAGGCTTGCTTAACATTTACTAGAGGTTCTATAATTCATATTATAGACATTATTAAAAACTTCTTTCTTATTGCTAAAGCTCAATATGAGTTTATAATGGAAAGTTTTGAAAATACAGGTAAACAAATTGTAATCATATCACCAATAGATGGCCATTCTTAACAGTTTGGTGTATATCCTTGTAAACTTTTTCTTGTGCACATATTTTCAAGTGTACTTTTTGAAAATATACTAGTTTATTATTTTTGACTTTTTCTTACAAATGTTTTAGTTTTAAGCCTTTATAACTTTTTCTTCTCTAATATATTCAAAGTAACATCCATCGATATTTTTAAAGAGGAAACTTATTTTGAGAAGTTGGGTTGTAAGAAGAAAATGATTGCATTTAGCATATATTAAATGAGACATAGGAGTGGGTAAAAAACTAAAATAGGAGAAGGGAGAAAACTAAGGTTCTTAGTAACACTCTGGCCATTTACTGTAATGGAGAGCATACTCTTTGGCAATACAACTAGAAAGTGCTCAGCATATTTTTTTTGTGCTGATTCAGTATTTCTGTTCTATTAAGTTTATTATAATTGTTTAGATTCATTCATTCATTGGTTACTTACTGAGGGTCTGTTATATTCCAGGGACCTGTTGCCTTATCATTTGCCACTTCAGGTGAAATACAGAAACTTTACTTCTATTAGTTCTGTTTATCCTCTTTGCTTTTATGTATTTGTTTTATTTAATATCCTCTGCATACATACACCACCACATCAGAGAGGATTATAATTTTTGTTTCAGTCATCAAATAGGATTTAAGAAACTAATGAGAAGAAGGGTAGTTTATTTATATTTATATTTTTCCTCATCTCAATGATCTTCTTTCCTTTCTAAAGTTCCAGGCTTCTTTAGTTATTATTTCCTTCTCATTGAGAGAACTTCCTTCAGCTCTGTGTTAAGAGTAGGTTTGCTAGTGACAGATACTCTTAGTTTTCCTGTCTGATAGAGTGTTTTTATTTTCCTCATTCGTGAAGGATATTTTCATTGGATATAAAATTCATGGTTGGCAGTTCTTTTCTTCAGCACTTTAAAAATATTATTCCACTTCCTCCTGGCTCTCATGGCTTCAGCTGAGAAATCTGCCATTCAAATTTGTGTTCCTTTTTAAGTAAAACATTATTTTTCTCTGAAACCATGAGATACAGCATTAGGACTGGTTGAGTGTGTGGGTTCAGTTTTCTTCTGGGCTCTGCAGATAACTATCCTGACAAAAGTGGAACACTGACTTTCAATGCCTCATTTCAGATGAATGGAGTAGGGAGTTCAGTGTACTCTTTTGCCCTACTGCACATTCATGTGAAGTGGGGCAATGAATTGCAGTGTTTTGTTCCTCTAAGCAGGATATAAGCACTCAGCATTCCTACGACTAAGCCTGGTTGACTGGGCTGGGAGGAAGTGGTGGGTTGATTCACATTAGTCTGATGCAGTAAAGTGGGGGTGGAACTTCAGCTCCCTGTTTGTCACCACTGACATTATCTTGGCAGGGAAATTGCAGTACTGCCAGCTTTTTGAAGCAGGGATGGAAGATCAGCTTTCCACTTGGTCCCACTGAAACTGCAGAGCCGTGGTTTTTCTATTGAGTCTGGCTATAGTAGGATGGGTATTGCTAAACAGGTTTTCTGTTGCTAGGCCACTGTTTTCCTAGTCCTTTGGCTAGAGGGAACAGGTTTCTTCTGTAGCTTTCTTTTCCTGTCCTTGGGGTTTTTCCAGAGTGGAATCTTCTCCAGTACCTTGACCTAGATGTATGGGAGACAGTCAGGACACACAGGTGTGTGTGTCTTTGCTCAATACCCAAGGTTTCTAGGCTGTCTGCCTTTCAGTTTTCCTATGTTTGTTTGCTATATCTAGGATTTTTTAGTTGTATGAGGGAAAACTAGGAAGGAATGGGACTTTTCAATCTTGGCCAGATTGCATTATCACTTAAAAAATGGAAAATTATTATGCTTTTTATTGTAGGTCACTGTTGGGGATAATTGGACTCCTGATGTAGAATATTGAATTTTTTGGAAAAAAGGAGTGCATTGAAATACTAAATGTCATTTGTTGTGCCTTAGAATTCAAAAGCAGGAAGTGGGGGAAAGTCACAAATTACTTGGGATAATCCTAAACAATTAGAAGGCTATATCCAGAAGCTTCAAAATGCTGCTGAACGACTTGCCACTGAAAATAGAAAACTGAGAAAATGGCACACTACATTTTGTGAAAAGGTATAATTTTATTTATAAAATTAAATAAGCTATGAATAGTATTATTTAAAAAATAAGATATAATTTTAAGTACTTCTTATTTGGAAATAATCTGAGATTTAAAGTTGCAAAAATAGTACAGAGAGTTCACGCTTAGCTCTCACCCTGCTTCCCCTATCGGTTACAACTTAAATGACCATAGTTGAGTTATCAAAACTAGGAAATAGACTATTTTGAATTTTATAACTTTCCACTGATGTCCTTTCTCTTTTCCAGGATCCAATCCAGGATCCCAACTCGCATTTAATTGTTGAGGTTCTGTAGTCTCCTCCTTCTCAGGCCCTCCAGGACCTTGATACTTTTGATGAGTGCTGGTTATTTTGTAGAATGTCTCTTGATTTGGGTTTATATGATGTTTTCTCACTAGATGTGGGTTATGTGGTTTTGTCAGGAATCCCACAGAAGTGATGTCTTACCTTTCTCAGTGCATTCATCAGGTATTGGTATGTTTTGTTATAGGTTATGTTAACTTTGGTCACTTGGTTAAGGTGGTATCTTTTAGGTTTTTCCACTAAAAAGTTATTATTTTTCAGATGATGTTTGAGACAATGATGCTCTAATTTTTAACAGGTAGTAATTCTTATGAATATTGATCTGCTTCGGCAGCAACAGCGTTGGAAAGACGGATTACAAGACTTGAGAACTGGCTTAGCAAGTGTAGAAGCACAGGTAGAGTGTTCTACTTTGTGTCCACACTTTTTATGACCTTTTCAGAATGTGAGTGTATGAATTGATGAGAAGTTCATAAAGTTTATCTTTATATCTTTACTAATAATTTGTTGATTTAGAATTTGACTGAAATATATATATAAATTAGCAATGCATTTATGTTTAAAAACATAAAAATAAATTTCTGTTTGTTTCATTGAATGCCAAATCTCTTAATTCGGGCTGCAGTTTTTTTAACTTCGTGCTTAAATAGCTATCATTTGTTAGTTTTCTTTTAGATGATTGTGACATCTGTAGAAGACAAAGTTAAATTTAGGCAGAAGCCTAATGATTGAAATAACTCTATTTCTGATTTTTTTTTCCTTTTTTTTGGGTCAAATTCAGTCTATATACATTTTGATATGAGATAATATATTTAAAAGTGGTTAGAACAGAGCCTGCTACATAATAGGTGGTATTGAGATCTTAGATGAATATGAGTTAGGTGTGTTACACACTGGTATATGTTTTTTTTAGTTCTTAAAATTTGAAGAAAAAAAAATTAAAGTTTTAATACTGACATATTTATATATTTATTATTATATGGACATAGAAGATGTGTAAACTACCCTAATCATCTGCATATTTTAAATTTGTCATGTTTTTAAATGTGCTCTGGATTATTTAGAGAGCAAGAAACAGAGAAGAGCTATACTTGGGAATTTTTGAAAAAGAACAAAGAAGTTCATAAAATATACTGTTGTTCCTGTTAGTTTTTGTTTTTTTGTATCATAAAACACAATCCATTTAATATTAACTTAATTTTTAAGATTTTACTGATCTTTTTGTGCACTATTTATAAGCATGAAAATAAGAGATTTTCGTATTTGCCTCTGTATACTCTCATACTACAAGTAGCAGTTAGGGAATTGCATGCTTTAAGATATTTAAAGTGACCTTTTTTTTGGTTATAATTTTACTTTATGTGATATGAAAGCATTAGATGAAAACTCCAATCTACCACTTAATTTTTAAATATAAAATGTGAATATAACATACTAGGGATTTCAAGCAAGTGATATGCATGCATGGAAACAGCACTGGAATCATCAACTCTACAAAGCTCTGGAACATCAATATCAGATGGGCTTAGAAGCACTTAATGAGAATCTACCAGAAATAAATATAGATTTAACATACAAGTAAGATTTTTAAAAACCCAATTTAATTTTCAATCTATAGTTTTTTAATAATTTATATTTTAAAGTTATTTATTTGTTTTCAGACAAGGACGATTACAATTCAGGCCTCCTTTTGAAGAAATCCGGGCCAAATATTATAGAGAAATGAAGAGATTCATCGGCATTCCTAATCAATTTAAGGGAGTGGGTGAGGCAGGAGATGAATCTATTTTTTCTATTATGATTGATAGAAATGCAAGTGGATTTCTGACTATTTTCAGTAAAGCAGAAGATCTATTTAGGCGACTGTCAGCTGTTTTACACCAGCATAAGGTATGGAACATGTGATTTTCTCTCCTTCTGTTAAAATATTCATCTGATTGATTGAATTAGCATTAAATGTGCAGATCCACGGTTTATCTTGTGTGGCATAAAAGAAAATATGGTAAACCATACAGACATAATTGTTGATTCATAAATTACCTAGATTTTTACCACACATGAGAAAAAAGCCACACTAAAATTTTGTTGTCTTTGACTAGTTGAAGAATGAGAAACTTTTTGTATGTAGTGTCAACTTGGGATGTGACATGAGTCTGTTGTGTCAATTTTAATTCCCCTCAGGAAGACATAATACTTTTCTTCATTCTTTGGATCAAGAGCAATCCATGGTGCGAAGCCTTCAAAGTTAATGAAATCAAGATGATTTAACTTCTTACTTTTAAGTACAAACATCAGTCATATGAACCTTACAGGGATAAATCCTGATTGCATTCAGTGCTCATTTGTATTGATCCTGAGATATATGACTGAGAATTCAACCAGTTTCTTAGCTGCCACTGCAGTGCTGCTTCTGCATTTTAAATTTCTTGAATCAATTGAATCTGGACACTTTTAGATTTGTAGCTTATAGTAGCTCTTTGCTTTACTGAACTGATTCTTTCTTTGTGCACATCAAATTTGAGAAAACCTAAAGGAAAGGTTTTTGTAGTCTCTTCAAAGAAGTTTTATGATTCCTGTACTTTTATATATTAAATCATTTTTTCCTTGTTTATTTTTTAGTTTATACAGTAATGATTATATTTACATACTTAAATTGAAATTTACTTGAATACTTCAATTTTGCTACTTTTTATTGGTCTTAATAGTTGGACCATAATATTTAAGTGTGAATTTATTAGTTCTATTTCTTTAATAGGATTTTTTTATCCTTTAAATAGGAATGGATTGTAATTGGGCAAGTTGATATGGAAGCTCTAGTGGGAAAGCATCTTTTTACTGTACAGGATTGGGAGAAAAATTTTAAAGCACTGAAAATAAAAGGGAAAGAAGTAGAACGACTTCCAAGGTACTGAAAGTAAAAGTAACATTTAGTAGCTGTAACAGTTTTGCCATGGGATATAAGGGTACTCTTCATGTAGTGATATTGAAGTCAAGTCGTCATCTTACCTTCTCTAGAGTTCAGCTCTAACACTTGAGTATTACCTGAGTAGGGCATTGCTGAGACTGAAATAATTTCTCTTCTAGGAGTTCTGCTGGCTGAGACATAGTTAGCTAGAATAGTTGGGGCAAGAGGCTTCTATTCAGATCCAGCATGAGGATCTAATTAATATTTGATAGGCATAGGCATATTCTAAGACTGGTACCAATCTGCTGCCGAGAGCATACTAGAGGGTATAAAACTGATGACATTGATTCTCATTTTGTACTGCTCCTCATTTTTTTAGAATGCCCTGGGAGGCATTTAACACTGCGCTGCATGTAGGTATTGCCTTAAATGTGGAGAAGACACTCTGAAGGGCATCTCTTAACCCAGCTACTTGAGAATATATCCCCTATCTGAAATTTATACTACTGGAGTCACTCTTTGTGACAAGCTCTGTGAAAGGCTTTGTTTAATTGTGCACATATTACCTATAAAAGATATTATCACTTTTACTCATTTGTCCATTCTTCCAATAAATAATATTTGGTAAGCATTCATAATATGCAAAACCTTGTCCTGTGAGAGTACAAAGATAAAGATGGGAGAACATCTGAGATCATGTTGCCTGCTCTCTGACATGTGCAATAAGACAAATATATTTGATGATTAAGTTAAACACACATAGAGGTTATGATAGTGGGCTGTGCAGTTGGATGGCTCTTACCAGCTGCATAACTTTGACAATTATTTAAAACCTGTGAACCTCAGTTTCCTCAGCCTCAATATAGTTAAAGCTATTCTATTTATCTCATAGTATTTTGAGGATTAAATTACTGGTACAGGGTGAGTTCTCAAAAAGTTAGTTGTTATTGTTAGTTATTATTAATAGCAGATAGAATAGTCTATATTGCATATTAGAGATTGAAGTAAAGGCTATAGAGATTTACAGGATGTTGACAGCCCAACCATTTGGGGCAAAGTTGGGGAAAATTTACATTAAGATAGAAATACTTGAACTAGGATTTTGGCAGGTAGGAATGAGAATTGGAGGTTAAAGTGGAGCCTCTTAGGAGAGGGATTTATATGCTAAAAATAACAAGTTGGCTAGTGAGATTTTAATTAGAGTGAATTTTTGTTTAGGAACCAGAGGAGATGCTCCTGGAAAGGGGTCGGTAAGGCACTGATTTGAGAGTCTTAGATTCTAAAAAAGGTCATTTGGATTTTATTCATGTTAGAATGGTTAGCTATTGAACGTTGCTGAACAGAAGTGTATCAATACCAAAGGTAAACATTAGGAATCTGGAAATACTGAGTTGTATGGTGGAATAAAGAGGTCCTGGGGGAAGAGGGGTTTTAGTCTGTCATCGTCTGGAAGACCAGTAATAATTAATTGAGTAAGTTGTTGGTACTCAAAATGGGGAGGAAGAAATATCATGAGGTATGAAGAGGTCTTATTTTTGAAGGAAGATGAGGGATGAGGAATAGAGAAGTTTGCCCTTAAATGGTTGGGATAATGATAGTACCCTAATAATTAGTTTGAAGTAAGGAAAAGATGGTGCTTTTGTAATGTTTGTTCATGAGGTTTCTCTTCTCTATTAGATACTGTCTTTGATTTCAATCTTGCCTATTTTGTTTGACTTTGTTTTCACCTAATAGCTCAAGGACCTCTACTGCTGCTATCACTAATACTAGTTTGTGCTTTACTGTAGACAGCTTTCCTATGTGCTTCTCTGCCAAAGTTCAGCAAAACAAAAGAATGCCTGTCCCACATTCCATTTTCCATTTTGCTATTTCTTGCTAATAAATTAACATGTATTCATCTGAAGCTAATATATACATACCTACGCACAGATATTTACTTTATGGGCACTTTTTGGAAATATGTTGAAGACTAGAAAAGCTACATTCTAAGGATTACAGATACCTTAGTAAAATGATAACATTTTGGGGTAGGCTGTCTATGGCTATCTCATTCTATCTGTGGCCTAATGAAGCCTCAGTTGCATATTACCAATATTTTCAGTAAAAGGTGAGTATTAGATTTGTCCACAAAACTATAGCATTGAGTATAGCTCTGTTGTAATCATATCACTTTATGACAACTCATTAGAAAAATGTGGTATAATGTGATTTTTTAGGTTTACCAAAATAATCTGTCTTCATTATCACATATTAGAATCTTGACACTTTGTGTCAGGATTTCAAAAATTATAAAAGTTCACGTTTCAGGCAAATTGGCTCTTATGTTTTGGTGGTTAAGAATTGGAATTTAAAACTCTCCAGTTAGTGGGTGTTTGAGAATAGATAAAGCTTTAAGAGAAAAATACATTTTTATAGTAAAACTGAGTATTTAACACATCTAACTTGCTTTCTAAGAATATCACTTGCCTCAATGCTTTAAAATGTCATGTACCTTTCCAGATAATCTTTGTGACCAAAATTTCTAGACCTTTTTTTTAAGCTTTGTGTAATTTAAGATAAATATGAGATTTTCTTTAGATGAATGAGTTTGGTTCAACTTCTGTTTGCTTAGAACATTACAATTTACATTAAGGGTACCATGCAAGAGCTAGTGTTTTTTTTTAAAAAAGCCTTTTTTTCTCATTATTAAAGTAGTACATTTGTTTTATAAATTTTTTGAAATATGGAAAAGTACAATGACACTTGCTGTTAATATTGATATTTTGAACATACTAGTACATAGCTTATAAAATTTTTCATTGTACTGTATCTTGCTGTTTTTATTTAACACCAGTCGTTAGTGTTTTGCTCTGTTATTACCTGATACTCAGCAATGTGATTTTTAATTGTATGTATATATAATAATGTATTTAGCCACTCCTATGTTTAGCTTGTTTCAAATTTTTGACTGTTAAAATTGGTGCTTTGATGAAGATATTTGTATATAACTCTGGGAGTCTGCCCTAAAAATTTCCTTAGGATTAATTCTAAAGGTGAAGTTATTAAGATAAAGAATATACCTATTTTAAAATTTGATATATATTGCTAAATTGCTCTTCACAAAAGTTGCATTATTTTATATTCTGACCAACACTTCTGAGAATTGTTTGCCCACACAATTGAAGATACAAATTAAAAACTCCTTACATTTTGTGAATTTGATAGGTATAAATGGTATAAATAGGTATAAATGGGATCTTATATGTTTTATTGACTTAATACCTTGATAATATACATTGACTTTCTGTCTTTGTTTTCTTTCCCTTACTGTTTGTGTTTTGACTACAGGATAGTAGATTTATTTTATAAATAGTTAAGTAAGTACTTTACATGCTGTGACAAGTAAAGCTCATAAGTATTCATGTTGATACTTTATGATATAGATGTGATATTCATAATTCATAATGTGTTGCCTTTTAGAAAATTGATACATAGGATGAATAAAAACTAGTATTATAATAAAATCATTGTTTAATGAAAGCTTCATAATATATGTAGGCCATTTTTGAATAAAATCTAAATGTGCTTAAAGATTAGGGTAATAATTTTGAGTTATGTTTTAATATATAATGTATATATTAATTTTTAATATATAATATATAATATATAATAATATTATAATGAGACTTTTTCTTTAATTAGTCTTTTTCATCAAAATATGTCCATTGGCATTTTTCAGTGCAGTGAAGGTAGATTGTTTAAATATTAATTGTAACCCGGTGAAGACTGTGATTGATGATCTCATCCAGAAGTTATTTGATATGCTTGTTCTTTCTTTGAAGAAGTCCATCCAGGGTAAACACACTTTTTATTTTTATTTTTAATTAATTTTATGTATAAAGTCTTGTACTTTGATAGTTATGAAATATGAATCCCAATGATGATTTAAAACCAAAACTGATATGAAAATGTTATGAAATACAATGTGCTTAAAATGATAATTTTAATAAAATAGGGAAATCCATGTTCAATTCCTAAGGGGTCTAACAATTGAAGCCATTTTTATTATTTGCTCTGAGCTAGTATCAGTTTGTTCTGTGTGTTACTGAGAAAGGCAGATAATTTTGGTATAGTGTATTGCTCCTTTTTTCCAAAATACCATATTGTTTTCTTTTTTTGCTTTAACTGAGATGTTTTAGCATATTATTTACAGGACTGAAATAGTTACCAATTTTTAGTAAAATTTACTAAGAGTGAGTACATCTTAACTTTCAAAATTTTTAAGTATAATGTGAAATGACTAAATTTTGATGAGAAGAAATTACTTGTTTTAATTTTAGTTATTTTGAAATTTTGTATGAAAGCAAATTATAGCTTCATATTTAATGTATTTCATGTAGTGATAACTTCTAATACTCCTTAATTTAGAGATTAGATAATTAAATATTTTTAGTGATAATATTTCTTATATTTCAATGTTACCTATTCAGCTCATTTACATGAAATTGATACATTTGTTACTGAAGCTATGGAAGTCTTAGCAATCATGCCACAGTCTGTTGAAGAGATAGGTGATGCCAATTTACAATATAGTAAGCTACAAGAACGCAAGCCAGAGGTGAGAATCACAAAGTAATTATTTATTTATTACTGTACTGGAGATGTTTAAATTAGGTGATTCTATATGACCAGTTAGGAATATCATGTAATTTCAATATTATAAGGGATTCCATATGATCTGTTCCAATTGTTCAGCTCATGACTGGACTCTTGATACTATGTTGGTATAATGAAACAGTAACAATAATGCTTATTGTTATCTTTGGTAGTCATTGTGGCATATTAGAATAAGACTAATCTTAAATAATTCATGCTGTTACTTCCAAGGTTTCAATTTTAGGGTGTTAAAGCATGAAGGTAGAGGTGAATTATGCATACACACACACACATACACATTCACATATGATGGAGGAGCTCATAAGTAGAGACTAAGATAAAAGACTAGTAAAGATTAATAAAAGCAGTATCTAGAAAGCTAGAGCCCAGAATAAGCAAGACAGTTTTACAAAACATGATGATTTTAGTTGTTTAGAGGAAGAAGGAAAATGTTTCAAATCAGAATATACATTTTTATATGTCTCTACTATGTGATGGACTTAAAATTATAAAGATACTTTAGAGGTATGTAAAATAACATGCCTTCATGGTAAGAAGCAATTAAAAATTTTTATTTAGCAGGCTGAAAGATACAAAGGCAAAATAACATGCTACCTAGCAGAAGGAATTAACTAAAGAAGAAACAGTATTATGAGCTATGGTAGTTAGCTAAATCACATAGGCATTCATTCATCTATTTATTTGACAGGTATTTATAGGTCACCTGATATGTCCCATGCATTGTGTTAGGAGTTGGGGTTGCAGCTTTAAACATTCTTTGTTGTGGAATATGCATTTGTGCATCTGTGTGTGTACAGGGGTGGTGGAAAGAGCAGTTAGAGAAATGAGAGAACGAGTATGCTCAACTGGGGGTTGTTACATAGGGTGAGTGATCATGGGAGAGCTCAGGTGACATCTGAACTGAGACCCGAAAAATAAAGAGCCAATCATTCTGAGATTTGGGGGGCAGATTATTCTAAGCAGACTGAACAGCCAGTGAAAAGAAAGGTCTTAGAAAAGGAGCTTGGTATGCTCCAGGGAGAGATAAATGTAAATACTGTCAAGGAAGTTAGATCAAGACCACCCTATCATTCAAGGAAGAAAATGGTCTGAGGTGAATTTGTAGAGGTAGACAGAGGCCAAAGTATGACCGCACTTTTAGATAATCATAAGGAGTTTGGATTTTTTTTTCTAAGTGTAATAAAAAGTTCTTAGAGGGATTTAAGCAGTGGGGTGACACTAAGTGGTTTACATTTTGAGGTGATTACTCTGGCTGCTCAGAAGAGAATGGATTGGAAGCATGCAGAAGTAGCAGAAAGTCCAGTGAGTAGGATATTGCTGCTGGTGGAGGAGAGATGATAGGAGCTTGCACTGTGTAGTAGCAAAGCAGATGAAGAGATAGGAATATCATGTAATTTCAATATTATAAGGGATTCCATATGATCTGTTCCAATTGTTCAGCTCATGACTGGACTCTTGATACTATGTTGGTATAATGAAACAGTAACAATAATGCTTATTGTTATCTTTGGTAGTCATTGTGGCATATTAGAATAAGACTAATCTTAAATAATTCATGCTGTTACTTCCAAGGTTTTAATTTTAGGGTGTTAAAGCATGAAGGTAGAGGTGAATTATGCATACACACACACACATACACATTCACATATGATGGAGGAGCTCATAAGTAGAGACTAAGATAAAAGACTAGTAAAGATTAATAAAAGCAGTATCTAGAAAGCTAGAGCCCAGAATAAGCAAGACAGTTTTACAAAACATGATGATTTTAGTTGTTTAGAGGAAGAAGGAAAATGTTTCAAATCAGAATATACATTTTTATATGTCTCTACTATGTGATGGACTTAAAATTATAAAGATACTTTAGAGGTATGTAAAATAACATGCCTTCATGGTAAGAAGCAATTAAAAATTTTTATTTAGCAGGCTGAAAGATACAAAGGCAAAATAACATGCTACCTAGCAGAAGGAATTAACTAAAGAAGAAACAGTATTATGAGCTATGGTAGTTAGCTAAATCACATAGGCATTCATTCATCTATTTATTTGACAGGTATTTATAGGTCACCTGATATGTCCCATGCATTGTGTTAGGAGTTGGGGTTGCAGCTTTAAACATTCTTTGTTGTGGAATATGCATTTGTGCATCTGTGTGTGTACAGGGGTGGTGGAAAGAGCAGTTAGAGAAATGAGAGAACGAGTATGCTCAACTGGGGGTTGTTACATAGGGTGAGTGATCATGGGAGAGCTCAGGTGACATCTGAACTGAGACCCGAAAAATAAGAGCCAATCATTCTGAGATTTGGGGGGCAGATTATTCTAAGCAGACTGAACAGCCAGTGAAAAGAAAGGTCTTAGAAAAGGAGCTTGGTATGCTCCAGGGAGAGATAAATGTAAATACTGTCAAGGAAGTTAGATCAAGACCACCCTATCATTCAAGGAAGAAAATGGTCTGAGGTGAATTTGTAGAGGTAGACAGAGGCCAAAGTATGACCGCACTTTTAGATAATCATAAGGAGTTTGGATTTTTTTTTCTAAGTGTAATAAAAAGTTCTTAGAGGGATTTAAGCAGTGGGGTGACACTAAGTGGTTTACATTTTGAGGTGATTACTCTGGCTGCTCAGAAGAGAATGGATTGGAAGCATGCAGAAGTAGCAGAAAGTCCAGTGAGTAGGATATTGCTGCTGGTGGAGGAGAGATGATAGGAGCTTGCACTGTGTAGTAGCAAAGCAGATGAAGAGAACTAGAGAAGGTGGTGATACGGTTTAGAGTTAGAATCAAGATCTTCTGATGCATTAGGTAGCGGGGGGATTAGATAAAGAGAAATAAACAAGTCTTCTAGGTTTTTGGCTTGAGCAGGTGGGAAGCTAATGGTAACATTTGTTGAGATGAGGATGAATAGAGGAGGAATGTGTTTGGAGATTGGAAGTGGTAGAGATTGAGATGTCAGGTACAAATTAAATTAAGGAATATAGAATTTAGAATAAAGGTAGAGACTAGAGATCTATATATAAAAATGGAAGTCATCATCTTTATATCCATGATGTTTGCAGCCATGAGTTTGAGCATTCCGAAATTGAGAGTTCAAGCATAGGAAGACGCAGCAAAGGAGATTGGAAATGAAGTGGTAGGAAAGACTGAAGTTGTATTATCACAGAAACCAAGAGAAGAGAAATAGATGCTGTATGCTGGAACATGTGAGGCAGGAAGTGCATGAGACAGTATAAGCAAGGAAGTAGGTCATGGGAACCACTTTAAGGATCTTAGACTTGATTCTGTGGACTTCTGGGCGTTATCACTGGAGTTTAAGCAGGAAGATGTTACAGAATTGTGTTTTGCTACATCTGTTGGTATATGGATTTGAAGGAGTAGGAATGGAGGCAGGTAGACTAGGAAATTGTTTTAACGTTTTTTAAGGCTAATCTAAGTTCTCTTCACATATAGGAAACTAGAATCCTACTCTTTTTTTTTTTTTTTCTTCTATTACTGATTTTCCTGGTACATCATGGCCTCCTTGTCCACTGGTTTTCTTGTCACTCAGATGGAACTGATCCTGCCCAGGAACTGCAAACTGGTCACTGAGATATATTTGAATTTCTTTTTTTTTCATATCTATTATGTGTGCACAGTGATTTAAAAAAACTTTCAGTGGTTTTATTGCTTTGTCAGTAGTAAAAGTGCGTGTATAAATTATAGGATACTGTTGTTTTAAGGTGCTTTAAAAGGTGAAGAAGCAATTCAAGAGTTTATTTAGTACTTGTTGATTTCCACCCAGACTGTTTAACAAACTGCTTATTATATGTGATTCAGGGCGTTTCTAGTAGAAACTGAATGCAGGAGCTTGATTACATTTGTTCAGTTGTCTGTTTCTTGAGAACCTTTTTTCATGAAGTTCCCTTATCTATTAAGGAGGATAATTTACTTATGCCCTTAGATAATCACTAATCTTAGTTCTTTTAGAAGCCCTTTTAGCATTTTCTTGAGTAGAACATTTATAATAAGAACTTTTTGTCCTCATGGGTTCACAGTTTCATTCAGTTTCATATTACCACTTTTATTGTCACCTTTAATCTTTGATGTTAGGATACCTTAGTTGAGTTATTAGAAACTTTATATCCAGAAATTTATTTATTTAAAAGCAAAAATCTTGATTTTTTTCAAAAAAGCAAATCATGGAGTAAATCCAAATAAATGGAATCTTAATAAATTTGATAAAATAGGTTGTTTTCATGTGTTACTTTTCCAATCTTTAGATTTTGCCCTTATTTCAAGAAGCTGAAGATAAAAACAGACTTTTGCGAACTGTGGCAGGTGGAGGTTTAGAAACAATTAGTAATCTGAAAGCCAAGTGGGATAAATTTGAGCTGATGATGCAAAGTCACCAACTTATGATTAAAGATCAAGTAAGAACCTTTTAGTCATTTTGGAAATTAAATTTTTTCTCACTTTTCTCACTTAAGATGTCTTGTTTATTCTATTATAGTTTAGGATTATAAGAATTTTACATTGCTGATAAAATTGATCTCCCTTTATACATTTTATATAAATGATCATTTCACAGTTTATCTTCACTTCCTATCATATCAAGAATGTATGTAAAATGTTTCCAGTCTGTCTTATGAATGAATTTGCTTATCTACTATGTACGGTATCATTTAATCATACAACCTGGAAGTTGTACTCATCTTTTACATTCATATCCAACTGACCAGAAGTTAGTCTTATGGCCTTGAGCTGCATGTGACACTGAGAAATGCCTTTATTAGTTAGCAGCTATATACTGAAGTATAACAATTGGCAGTCATTAATCAAACACTTTTTTATCATGTCAACTTTGTTGATAGTTGTGGTGATGCTGCTAATCACATGAATGATTTTTAAATGATGTTGTTTGCAGTATATCTTTTGTTATTATGAACTTATGGTTTTATTTTGTTTTTTGAATTTTTTATTGAAATCAATAATTAAAATCAATCTTGAAAATTTAGTATTGATAATTTTTCACCTTTAAATAGAAAAATGTGAAAGTAAAATGAGATTTTGCTCTGAATTAAATTAAGTAAATTTTATTGGTTTATAGATTGAAGTGATGAAAGGAAATGTGAAATCACGTCTTCAGGTTTATTATCAAGAATTAGAAAAATTTAAAGCTCGTTGGGACCAACTGAAGCCTGGTGATGATATTATTGAAACTGGCCAGCAAAATACTCTTGATAAGAGTGCAAAGTCAATAAGAGAGAAAAAAATGGAGTTTGATGATCTTGAAGTCATAAGAAAAAAGCTGGTGTATGTTTTTTCTTTTTAATTGATAGTACTCATTTTGAAAAAATATGTTTTGTATTTATATATGACTAATAATTTTCTTCTGTTTTCCAAATGTCTTTCTATATAAACTTAAGCAGTTTTAAAAATATAAATAATACGTGCTCATGCTACTGCTTTCTTAGGTGTTGTGGTTGGATTATGTAAGGATATTATTAAGAGAAAAGCAAATTTTTGGTTAGGCCTAGAAGAACAGAAAATTCAATTTACTTAAAAGGGAGTTGGAATACTTGCTTTCTATGATCTCACTGTATTTTAAAATAGAATATATAAAATTAATGGAAAATTACTTTCAGGGCCTCTGAGAAAAAAATGAATCTAAGCAAAATAATGAGACTTTAAAGAAAAAAATTGTTTTATGTTAAAATAATACAAGTTATTAAGCATTGCTTTAGGTTTGGTCTATTTAGGCAAATTAATTTGTGAAATAGTTGCCTTCATAGGTGAGTGGAGTACCACATTTATTAAATGGCAGTATAATAATTAGATGGAGGATTTCTTATATTGTGGAAGCTAGAGCTCTTTTAACTGAGAAGCATATTAATAAATATTAATATGCTTCTCAGATCAATCCATAAAGTTATACAGTTCTGGAGATTTACATATGCTATATATGACATATATATATTATGTACTGAAAGTATATTTATCTATATATTACCACATCCACTTGACTCCTGTGGGAAAAATGCCTGTTAACGAATTTCAAAGAGTCCATACCTAAGTGGTTCAAGTGAAATTCTCATGTAGAGTAGGCATCGACTCTCACTGTTCATCTCCACTCTCGAATGCATACACACACATACACACACACACACAATACAGTTAAATAACATTGATATTTAACAGTTTTCCTTTGTTTTAAATCTAATGATATTTCACTATTTCTTTCCATAGTGATGATTGCCATCATTTTGGACTAGAAGAGCCCAACTTCTCTTTGGCACATAGCATCTCTAAGGACATTGAGAGCTGTGCACAAATTTGGGCTCTTTATGAGGAGTTTCAGCAAGGATTTCAGGAAATGGCCAATGAAGATTGGATTACTTTTCGGTTTGATTAATAAATAATAATTGGATTCTTACAATTTGGTAGTGTTTTTTGGGATATAAATTTTAAGATGTGTTTCCGGTATTTTATAGGACTAAAACATATCTGTTTGAGGAATTTTTGATGAATTGGCATGACAGATTAAGGAAGGTTGAAGAGCATTCAGTAATGACAGTTAAATTACAGTCAGAAGTTGACAAATACAAAGTAAGATGTGTTACTTATTCTACTATTTTAGAATGAAGTTTGGAACTTTCATGTATCTTTAATTATGTAGTGACTGAACTGTAATTTTAGTTTATATATTTTTTAATGATTCTCTTACATGAAAAAAATAGGAAGTACAGAGTAAGCCATAGAAAGCATTGATGTTTCTGCTACTATTTGAAAGAAGTTTTAACTCAGAAATTTGTGGTTAAAGTCATAACTTGCAGTGTTATACATCCTCATGTAATTTAGGATATGGGTCATTTAGCATATTTAGGACATAGGTCATACCTAAAATAATGAAAATAGAAATATTTTAGGTTATATTTTAAAATACGTCAAGTTATAAAGGAAATTTGCATGTATCCTCATCAGTGTTGAGTAAAAAGTTTTATACAATTCCATTTAAGAAATTGATTTTCAAGATTGATAAGGTAATGAAGTAATTAAAGTTCTTATAGCTAATTATCAAAAAAATAATTTGTATTTTGATGAGCTATATTTATGTGTATACATCCATCCTTTTTTTCTCTTTTTAACAGATCACAATTCCTATCTTGAAATATGTGAGAGGAGAACATCTTTCTCCAGATCACTGGCTTGATCTTTTTCGTCTACTTGGCCTTCCTAGGGGAACTAGTCTGGAGAAATTACTGTTTGGAGATCTGCTTAGTGTAGCCGATACAATTGTTGTCAAAGCTTCAGACCTTAAAGTAAGAATTGCTTTTATAAATATCTCATTAATCTAACCTTTATATTTTATTTAAATAAAATAGCAAGCTAAATTTTTTCTTGCCTTAAAATGGTTGCAATACCCCATTATTCCATTTTTCTTTCATTAGTAATACATCTGGATCTGTATGGAAGTATAGAAATAATATAAGCCCCTTTCTTGAGAGAGAGAAAAAATATGAGGTAAAAAAAAAAGCCTTGCTTCAAAAAGGGAGTTAGCATTAATAAAAAAGCAAACAAATTAAAATCATTTTACATAATATACACTTAAAGTCATGGGTATATTATAAAAGAAGCTCAGGGGTACAAAAGTCCAGGAAGCTAAAGGAAGAACCAGTTTGCTAATCAGGCTTAGAAAAGGTCTCAAAAGTAAAACTGCACATTCTATCATAAGTGGCAGATTTTCTATATTGTGTTCTGCCCATTCAATGTAAAAATAAGACTAGGTGTCAAATTGCTTTATTTTGTATCTAAATATGCATACCTTTATGTTTGTTGATAAACCTGGAGCATATTTAGACAGTCATGAGGTAATAAGGCATGACTGTTCTAGGAAATAACTGTAGATCTTTGTTAATTGCTTTAGATGTATCAGAACTTACAATTAAGTTACAATGAAATTCTGATATCTGCAAAATTTTAAATAAGCCAGATTATTTTTGTATTTTGTGATGATCGGTGCTTGAATTTTTTTTTTTAAGAAGTAAAAATCATAAGGCAGAACTTTGCATATACTCTGACCACATGAATCTGGATGCTTAGTATCTTGATACATTAGCCAGTAATTCTCTTGGGTTATATGTATAATATTTCCACTTACTTTTTTTTCTTTATTACTAAAGGCCAAATAAAAATATATCTTTCTGTAAAATAGGTATCTTATAGTTGTATGAGAATGCTGAAGTAATAAATATTGATATTTTGTGTTAAATAGGATTTAAATAGTCGGGCACAAGGTGAAGTTACAATCAGAGAAGCTTTACGTGAACTTGATCTCTGGGGAGTTGGAGCAGTATTTACACTGGTTGATTATGAAGATAGCCAAAGTCGAACTATCAAGCTGATTAAAGACTGGAAAGATATAGTAAATCAAGTTGGAGATAATAGATGCCTTCTTCAGTCCTTAAAGGATTCTCCTTATTATAAAGGATTTGAAGATAAAGTGTCAATTTGGGAAAGAAAACTTGCAGAGTTAGATGAGTACTTACAGCACTTAAATCATATTCAGAGAAAGTGGGTATATTTGGAACCCATTTTTGGTCGTGGAGCATTGCCAAAAGAACAGACACGCTTCAACAGGGTTGATGAAGATTTTAGGTGAGTACAAGTGTGAAAGAAATAGACATATATGGCAGTTTTTTACTGATACTATGAGGTGCTTAAATCAAGCTGATTACTTTTACATTATTAGTATCGTGTGTGTCTTCAACCTACTTCTCTACTGGATCTTTCTGAGAAGCTGTTGTCTTTCATTCAGCCACTTCTTAGATCCTTTTGATCTGGTTTCTGTCTTTACCACTCTACCTAATATTAATAGTATTACTATAGCATAATAGTTATAATAATATTACTAATATATTTCCTAAAGTTACAAATTACTTTTTTGTTATAAATTGGATGGGCATTTTTCATTTTTCATTCTACTTGATCTCTTATTAATATTTAATAGATTTGGACATTTCTTCTTTCTTGGAGAGTCTCTTCCTTTGGTTTCCGTGACTGTCCTCTTTTGGTTCCCTGCCTGTCTCTCTGGTTCTATTACTAGTTCCCAGTTGTCAGGCCTCTCTCAGCACTGAGGTGTGGACATTCTTCGTGTTTCAGCCTTATGTTCCTTTCTCACTTTTCCTTTATTCTTTTCAGTAAAACTTGAAGTATTTCCCTGCTCTAACGATATAGCATGATCTGCTCCTTGTCCATTTCTCTAGCCTTTTCTTGTGCTGCTCTCCTTTTTTGCTTTTGTGACTCTAGCCTTTAGTTTTTCAAACATACCAAGCTCCTTCTAAGAATCTTTGTCAGAAATGATTTCTCTCCTACTCACTGACTTTTCTTTTTACTCATTATTCAGATCTCAGCTTAAATTACTTTCTCACAGTAGCCTTAGGTAAGCGATTTCCTATTAGCCACTGTAGCAATACTTTGTACCTTTCCTTCTTAGCATTTATCATAATTTTATTTAAATATTTTGAGAACATATTTAATATTTTTCTGTGTCACTAGACCATTATCTCTGTGAGATAAGGCTTAATGTTTGTTTAGTGAATGAATGAAATAAGGGAATTTACAAATAGGATGTTAAAAATGGTGATGGGATATTATCAACTTTTGATATTATTTATTAAAAGCATAATGTATTGCTATTAAGACATTTTTCAGTGGGCAAAAAAAAAGTCTCAGTATCTCTTTTTCAGCCAAAAATGGTTAAAGTATATGTGAAAATAACTTTTTTTTCTTCTGTAGATCCATAATGAATGACATCAAGAAAGACAATAGAGTCACAACATTAACTACTCACGCAGGAATCAGAAATTCTCTACTAACAATACTTGATCAGCTTCAAAGATGTCAGAAGTCATTAAATGAATTTTTAGAGGCATGCTTTTAAAAAAATATAATGAATTATAGAGTAATTTAATACCTTAATTTTTTGAAAAGTGAAAGCTATTCTTTTTTTTAAATTTTTATTAGGAAAAACGCTCAGCATTCCCAAGATTTTATTTTATTGGTGATGATGACTTATTAGAAATACTGGGCCAGTCTACTAACCCATCAGTGATTCAGTCTCACCTCAAGAAACTATTTGCTGGTAAGATTTGACATTTATACAAAAGATATTTGTTGAAATTCAACTATCTGCCAGGTATAATGTGAGGCTCTTAGATAGACTTTTGAATAAAAGACAGGTCATACACTCAGAGAATTTAAAGTTTAGTGGTGGAAACAAGATAGTAACTTGACAAATATATGTAACAATTCCTATGGTCAGTGTAAGTATGTGGTGTTATAGCTGTATCTGTGTAGACATTTAACTTAGTTTTGGGGCATCATGAGGCAAGAGATATTTAAGGTGAGAATCTGTGAATGTGTAGGTCTCAGATAGAAGAAATATGGGGAGGTAGAGGGAATAGTCTGTGCAGAGGCTTAGAGGTAAAGGGGAAATTGCATATTCATTATTGAGCTGAAGGTTTCCTCAATGACATCCAAGTGGAGATACCCAATTGGCAATTATCATAAGCAGAGAGACCTGGGGTGGAGACGTAAAATTGGGAGGCATCTGTATATAGACTAAGCTATGGGCTTAAGGTGAGATTATCTGGTGGAAAGTGTAGAGTAATAGTGCATATGCTTCATTCCTATCAAAATACTGACAGCATTCTTCAACGAACTAGAGAAAATCGTTCTAAAATTCATATGGAACCACAAAAGACCTCGAATAGCCAAAGCAATTCTGAGAAGAAAGAATAAAACTGGGGGCATTATGCTCCCCAACTTTAAGCTCTACTACAAAGCCACAGTAATCAAGACAATTTGGTACTGGCACAAGAACAGACCCATAGACCAATGGAACAGACTAGAAAGCCCTGATATAAACCCAACCATATATGGTCAATTAATATACGATAAAGGAGCCATGGATATACAATGGGGAAATGACAGCTTCTTCAACAGCTGGTGTTGGCAAAACTGGACAGCTACATGCAAGAGAATGAAACTGGATTATTGTTTAACCCCATACACAAAAGTAAACTCGAAATGGATTAAAGACTTGAATGTAAGTCATGAAACCATAAAACTCTTCGAAGACAACATAGGCAAACATCTCCTGAATATAAGCATGTACAACTTCTTCCTGAACGGATCTCCTCAAGAAAGGGAAACAAAAGCAGAAATGAACTCATGGGACTACATCAAACTAAAAAGTTTCTGTACAGCAAAGGACACCATCAACAGAACAAAAAGGCATCCTACAGTATGGGAGAATATATTTGTAAACAATGTGTCTGAGGGGTTAACATCCAAAATATATAAAGAAAGCAAATAACCCGGTTAACAAATGGGCAGAGAATATGAAGAGACAGTTCTTCCAAAGAAGAAATTCAGATGGCCAACAGACACATGAAAAGATGCTCCACATCATTAATCATCAGGGAAATGCAAATTAAAACCACAATGAGATATCACCTCACACCAGTAAGGATGGGCAGCATCGAAAAGACTAAGAACAACAAATGCTGGCGAGGATATGGAGAAAGGGGAACCCTCCTACACTGCTGGTGGGAATGTAAGCTAGTTCAACCATTTTGGAAAGCAATATGGAGGTTCCTCAAAAAACTAAAAATAGAAATACCATTTGACCTGGGAATCCCACTCCTTGGAATTTACCCAAAGAATACAACTTCTCAGATTCAGAAAGACATATGCACCCCTATGTTTATTGCAGTACTTTTTACAATAGTCAAGATATGGAAGCAACCTAAGTGTCCATCAGTAGATGAATGGATAAAGATGTGGTACATATACACAATGGAATACTATTGGGCCATAAGAAAGAAACAAATCCTACCATTTGCAACAACATGAATGGAGCTGGAGGACATTATGCTCAGTGAAATAAGCCAGGCAGAGAAACACAAATGCCAAATGATTTCGCTCATTTGTGGAGTATAACAATGAAGCAAAACTGAAGAAACAAAATAGTAGCAGATTGAAGAGACTCCAAGAATGAACTAGTGGTTACCAAAGGGGAGGGGTGTGGGAGGGTGGGTGGGGAGGAAGGGAGAAGGGGACTGAGAGGTATTATGTTTGGTACACATGGTGTGGGGGATCACAGAGAGAATAGTGTAGCACAGAGAAGGCCCACAGTGGATCTGTGGCATCTTGCTGCACTGATGGACAGTGACTGCATTGGGGTATGGGTGGGGACTTGATAATATGGGTAAATGTAGTAACCACATAATTTTTTCATGTGAAACCTTCATAAGATTGTATATCAATCATACTTTAATAAAAAAGGAAAGGAAAAGAAAATATAGTGCATATGCTTCAATGTTGTTGAATCATTTTACTTGGGTGATTGCATATGGAATCAGTTTGCTGCAATAATAATGATTGTCTCAAAATGTTTCATCTCTTGGAAAAGACCTATATTTTTCATATTAATAAGTGAAATATTTTTATTAACTTCATTTATAATCAGAGATGAGCAAACTACAGTCCCAAAGGCCAAATCTGGCTGTCCTTTTTATTTTTAAATAAAGTTTTGCTGGAAATAGCCATGCCCATTATTGTCCATAGCTGCTTTCATGCTACTAGTGCAGAATCGAGTAGTTGACAGAGACCACATGGCCCATTAAAGCCTAAAATATTTACTCTGCTGCTTCACAGAAGTATTTACTAACCAGTGTATAGCTGAAGTTTAAGAATGCTTGTATATGTAACTGATAGGAGATGTGAGAGGTAGTGGAAAGAACTCTTAGAATCAGGAGGCTTACATTCAAGCTCTACCTCTACTCTTTATCAGTCAGTTATTAATTTGCCTCTTTGAAAGTTAGTTTTCTTTTTCAAATTAGAAATAATAAGTTAAGGGTTTTTCTGAACATCAAAATTAGATTATGCATTAAGTTTTTTTGTATACGCTAAAGTGATATGCAGATTTGGGGGAAGGGATGTCCTATTTGCCATAGTCCTTTTCTCTAATATTTTGTCTCATAAGTGGAATCATTAATATGTATTCTTATGTACTCATTTGTGTCTGGCTTTTTTGTTTATCATGGTTTTGAGATACCTGCAACTATATTTTATTCCTTTTTATTTCTGAGTAATATGCCCTTTAAATATATCACAGTTTTTCCATTTACCTGTTGATAAGCATTTGGGTTGTTTCAGTTTTTGTCTGTGAAAAGCTGTTCTATTATATTATATACTAGAATCATTATAATTCTATTACATTACAACATATATTATATGCTATACATTATACATTAGGTGGTAACCATACATTAGGTATCATAACTATATTTCTAATTCTTTTGCATTTAAATTGTTGCTTTTATATTATAGGCATTAACAGTGTATGCTTTGATGAGGAATCAAAACATATAACTGCAATGAAATCTTTAGAGGGAGAAGTTGTACCTTTTAAAAACAAAGTTCCTCTTTCAAATAATGTAGAGGTAAGTAATTCTCTTTCAAGTACAAAAATAAAAAGAATTAACTATATGAATTTTGTATCAAAAATAGTTTAGTCAATGTGTAGGGTAAAAATGTTAATTTAGACCTTTTAGGAAACTCAGAAACTCAGCTTAGAAAAATATTTTGTTAGGTTGAGGATGATTTGATATTTAAAACAGAATGTGGATTTTTAACTAGCAGAGAAATCAGGAAAACAATTCTATTTACAATTGCATCAAAAAGAATAAAATACCAAGGAATCAGCCTAACCTGAAGCAAACAAAATCCCTGATTCAAAAAGACATATACACCCCTATGTTTATTGCTGCACTATTTACAATAGCCAAGACATGGAAGCAACCTAACTGTCCATCAGTAGATGAATGGATAAAGAAGATGTGGTACATATACACAATAGAATTTTATTCAGCCATAAGAAGAAAACAAATCCTACCATTTGCAGCAACATGGATGGAGCTGGAGGGTATTATGCTCAGTGAACCTGGCAGAGAAGGACAAGTACCAAATGATTTCCCTCATTTGTGATGTATAACAACAAAGCAAAACTGAAGGAACAAAATAGCAGCAGACTCAGACTCCAAGAGGGACTAGCAGTTACCAAAGGGGGAGGTGTGGGGGAGGGCGGGTGGGGAGGAAGGGAGAAAGGGATTGAGGGGTATTATGATTAGGACACATGGTGTTGGGGGGATCATGGGGAAGACAGTGTAGCACAGAGAAGACTAGTGACTGTGTAGCAATTTGCTATGCTGATGGCCAGTGACTGTGGTGGGGTGTGTGGGGGGACTTGATAATATGGGTGAGTGTAGTAACTACAATGTTGTTCATGTGAAACCTTCATAAGATTGTATATCAATGATACCTTAATAAAAAATAATAACAAAAAATAGGGATTTTTAGTCTTTTCAAGGCAGCATGTAATTATGAAAACAGACTTTGCTTTGGAGTTAAAAAAGACTTGGATATTCATTTTAGTTCCACAGCTGACTAGCTATGTGACTTAGAATCTCAGTTTTCTTATCTGTAAAATGAGAATCTTACTATCCGTTGCAAAGACTTTCTATTGAATATTAAAGAAGATAACTGGCTTTATGTACACTATATAGTGTTTGGAATATGGATACTCAGTAAGTCTTAATTCTCTTTTCTCTTTAAAAAATAATTTGTGCAAGATGACAGGTGAACAAGTAAGCTTGAAAGTAGTGCATTTATAGAACAATTGTCAGTTAATAGTCCTTTGAGACTGAAAGTAAACCATCAAAGGCCTATTACAGGTATACAACTAAAACCAAATGGCAGTAGGTTATATGACATTGGATTGTAATTTTTGGTGTCAAAATTATCTTCCAACTAGAAGTCAGAGGCTGTGCCTTATCATGAATGTATCTATATAGTTTAGCAAAATATCTATTCCTGGTTAGACCTCACATTTTATTGGATGTTGAATACATAAATTAGGAAACTGAAAGCATAGAAGCTTTGGTAAGTAGCTCCCATGTTTGGTGAAGATTTTAGTTGCTTTTGTTGTGTTGGTATCCTTTCTTGTAGTTTTATTGGGACCAGATAAACAGAGAGGAAGAGCTTAAGTTTTAGTAATGGGGCCAGAGCAGTTTTGCTAGCACAGGAAAGCTGGAACTCTGGAAGGCCTCGTGGGGATGAGCACAGTAAGTGTCTCTCTTGCCTTCCACTGAGAGATTCTCTTTAGCTTTGGTGACTTTGAGCTGGGCAAAGGTTCATGCTATTTTTAATACTGTAAAGTGCCCTAAAGATTAAAAGAAAGCTAGAACTTAAAGTAAGTAATGATAAAAGCTATTTAAGATGATAGTTTTTGCCTTTATATTTTGTTGCAGTTGATGGTCTTTTAAAATTAAGTAGTGATTTATAAATTTTCTTTGCTATTTTTATCAATCATTACTATTTTAACTCGGGTTAACTTTTATCATTTTATCTGTAGTCAAGTGAGTGAAAAATGTGTTGTTTTGAACTTCAAACAAAATCAGTTTTGTCTGAAGAGGCAGCTTAACTCCCCAGATGATATAGTTTATTCAAAGGAAGCAATCCCTTCCTCTGACTGCAGCTTTCTGAATATGAGATCACCAGGATAGTATGAGCTGGGGAACTTAGCCAGTCACTGTGACTCTGATTTATTGGCCCAAATATTTAGTTTAATTTGTCATAATGATGAAATCAATGGGTCACTTTTTTTTATTAAAGTATTATTGATATACAATCTTAAGATGGTTTCACATAAATGACACAGTGGTTTCAACGTTCACCCATATTATCAAGTCCTCACACCCCCTCTATTGCGGTCACTGTCTATCAGCATAGTAAGATGTTATTGAGTCATTAATTGTCTTCTCCATGACCTACCTGTATTGTGATTGCGAATTATAGTGCCCCTTCTCCATCCCCACCCACCGTCTCCCCCGCCTTTGGTAACCCGTAGTCCCTTCTCAGTGTCTGTGAGTCTACTGCTATTTTGTTCCTTCAGTTTTGTTTTGTTTTTATACTCCACAAATGAGTGAAATCATTTGGTTATTTATCCTTCTCTGCCTGGCTTATTTCACTGAGCATAATATCAATGGGTCACTTTTTTTTTTTTCACTACTTAGCTAATATTTATTGAGAAACTACAAAATTCCCATGATATGAAATGTATTATTATTATTTTTTTGATATGGTTGATTTTTTTTATTTTGGTATCATTAATCTACAATTACATGAGGAACATTATGTTTACTAGACT